TGCACATATAATGCATTTATCTTCTTGGGTTTGGCTTTGTTCCACTTAACATAATGTCCTCTAGGTTTGTCCACATTGTTACCAGTGACAAGATCTCCTTTTCTTTAAAGACTGGCTCAGCTGCCATTGTATAATTGTACCATGTTTTCTTTATCCACTTATTAGTTGATTTCAGATTTTATTTAATAACAAGTAATGCTACAGTGAGCAAATTGTTTCTTCAGAAGATGTATGCCATTTCCTTGGAGTAGCATTAATGGATAATGTGTGATCTGTATTTTCAAATTTTGTGGGATGCCTGTGTGCACATGCAGAGGTCAAAAGACTACACCAAGTATCTTCCTCTATCACTATCTTAGTTTTGGAGGCTCTCACTGAACCTGGTTTTCAGTGGAATGCACCTTCAACAGTGTGCAAGAATTCTTCCCTGTGATCTTTCTCTTCAATATTTGATATTGTTTGCCTTCTTGATAACAGCTGTTCTAAACAGTGTAAGTTAATATTTCATTGTGGTTTTATTTGCGTTTCACTAAAGAGTAGTGGTACTGAGTACTTTCCCCCATATGTACACTTTCTTTTTGAAAACCCTTATTTGGGCCCTTTCCCACATTTTTAATTTGGCTACTTCTTTTCTTCCTATTGAGTTCCTAATGTATTTTGGATATCATTAAATATATGATTCGTGAAAATTCTCTTCCAGTCCACAAGTTATGTCTTCACTCTGTTGATTTAGTCTTTTGCTATGAAGTAGCTTTTAAATTTAATGGAAGCTCATTTGTCTTTGCATATGAACAACAGTTGATATTGTAACTTCTGTTACCACAAATGTGCCTTGATATATTGCATCCTCCAGATGTCAGAATAAGTGTCAGGTCCCTGGAGACATTCCTACCCTAAATTCCCTCTCCATGATCTTTACTGTGCTCCATTACATAGCTCTGATTTCCTCATATATAATGAGAAATAATCTTTACTCACTGCTCTGCTCTAGTAGGCTGTAAAGTCAAGATTGGAGGAGACTGATGAGTCTTAATGTTTGTTCTCAGCTCCAGGTACAATAGTGCTTTAATGCGTGAACAATAAGGCTTGAAGCCACTTGGCATAGATGTAAGCATCTGAATTACCTCAAGAGAAATACATTCTTGATTACTCTTAAATACAACCTAAATAAACTTTTCTGTTTGTCTAGGTGATTGCCTTCATATCACTAGGATTAAGGAATAGAGCAACTGCCAGAGTTTTCTTCTGTTAGCCCAGGAGAACCGTGAGTTGTTAGAAGTCATTGTGTTAGATTAGTGGTAAGAGTCTGAATTCACAATTTCTCATCATTAAAAGCAGGTTACATATGTCATGTAGCTGAAGATTCCCTCTCTGCATTCTGTACGAAGTCTTCTCAGAATTCAGCAAGCATCTTGTGCCCATAGCTCACATTTATTTGATTTAATCAAAATTAGATTATCAGAGAGTATCTATTCACTAATTAAGTCTTTTGGAACCAGTCAGATATTTTTTTATTTTTTGAGGAAAAACTGACCTTGCAGTGGAATACAAATCACAAATGACTGTGTGACTTCAAGTCGCACTTTTCTGTGACTGATCATTGTCCTAAAGAATAAATGACTAAATAAAGACTAGGGCTAGTCAACTGAATTTGGTTTCCTCACGGATCAACTTCAGAGAAATTTGTGTAAAACTGACCATCCAAATTAGCAACTTTCACTAGTAAACAGGTATGGTAAAATCTATTTCCTTATTTACATAACCAACTACAAAATGTATTGACCTATTCTGGAGAAACTTGTCTTTAAGTTAAAATGAAAGTGAAAAATCGCAAGTGTGTTTTGTAGTCACTGATTTCTGGTTGTCCCAGAGAACTGAAGTTTAAAGATGTAAGACTTGCAATGTAGCTGTCAGTACTTATATCTGAATTGTTACAGTTGGGGAAAATGTAGGAACTCTGTGAAGTTGCTTTTTAAGTACCTGCTCTGATCATTATTGTGTTTTCTTCATTCTGTCCTACTAAATCTGGATTTAAGTTTGTGGAAAACTTGTTCTACTGTCTTTCTGAATGGTTTCATTGTTTCCCACATCTTGATATATTGTTTTTATTGTCATTTGTCTCATATTTTCCCACTTCTCTTTTTAGTTTCATTAGTCCATTGATTGTTCCGGGATGTTAATTAGTATGGATTTCTGAGGCTTGTTCTTTTTAATTTTCTTCTGTTACTGATTTCTCATTTCATTTCATTTGGGTTGCAACAATATTTGAGATATTTAAACTTTTTCCCATAATGACTTGTGATCCATCCTTGAGAATGTTTTGTTAGGTGGGATATTCACTTTATGTATATTTGGCCTAAAGAAGAGCTTTAGTCTGGTGTCTTTGTGCATTTTCTGTCTTGATGATCTGTCCATTATTGAAAATGAGACAGAGCTCCCCAATTTCAATATCCAGCCTTCCCTTTTCCTTCATATTGTTTGCTTTGTACATATATATAATGCCACAAACAGTTCTGAAGAAAAATTTGAGATCATCACTCTGTAGCCCAAACTGCCCTCAAATTCATTATCTGTCTTAGCCTCCACTGTGCTGAAATTCTGTAAACAGTAGTTACAAAATCCAACTAAGTCCCAAGAACATTGACTCAATTTGTTTTATGAATGAGGCCACAAAAAATGCTTTACTGTGCTTTGATGTAATGTTCACACATAATCTTTATGGGTGTTGTGATCCTCATTTTGCTATAGGTTATACAACTTGTTGCCTACTACAGCAGCAGCTTTTAATGAACTGCAGTGCTGAATTCAGCCATAAGGTCATAAGTCTGTAAGCCGATTACAGACACTCCCTTAAATATAGGTTACACCTTGTTCCATTATATCCTGTTAACATTTAAAGATTTAGGACCATGACCCACAGTTATAATTTAATTAAGATGGATATGCATTCATAATCCATGTACTGGAGAAATGCTTCACAGTTCTTTTATTGTGATGACCTTGACATTTTCAATTCCATCATGTTCTGTTTTTTTAATGAGTTATGATTTATTAAATATCATGACCTATCAGTAGGTTTCTACTTGTACTTTGAAAGCACTTGATTTCAATGCTCTTTTTAGACATTATGCTGTAAGCTATGCAATTACAAAAAGCAAACCCTGAATTTGACAAAACAAAGCATCATGGATCAGTTGCTCCAGGTCACCTCAGTGTTTCTCAAATTTGATTTTGTTTTCTCACCTTTGGTCTTTGATTATGTTCTCTTCCACCTTTTTATGAAAACACTTGTGAGTATCAAATACTACCTGGCATGCAGAGCTTAAGTCCGGTTCAACATAGTTATTCTGTTCAAGTCTAGGCTACTTTCCAGTCTCTTTCCTCCAAGTTTTTGATCGTTACTCTAATTCTCTCAGTACACTGCACCTTTTTAGGTACTCAAGATTGACACTGTATACCCCCAAAATTGCCTGGTGGAGAGAAAGTCCAAAAATAATACTGACACTCATTGAACTCTAATTTCTAATGAAAGGTCTTCTACTTCACCCATGTGATGCAACTGTCACAACATTGTCTGCTATCATTTGTAGATATTTTTGTAAAGTTCAAAAAACTATCCACATATGTGTGTTTAATATAAATACCTACCCTGACCCCTCAAAGGCCTTTCAATACCCACAGATGAATAAATGATGCTGCATTTGAAAATTGTACTTTTTTGATAGTTGGAGCTCTAGGATAAGCTACTGTGCAGATATGTAGTGAAATAGCAGCATGAAGGATAAATTTTATGGATATTCCTAACAGGAACACAAACCTGTTGTATAAGTAAGTAACCAAGTACAGCTACAGATAGGAAAATACAACAAAATAGTTTCACTAATTCAAAGTTTTATTTGGTGTCAAAGTATCTTATTGTAAATTGGATAATTAATTTCATCATTATTTTTAGAAGACACACTTCTACAAAATATTAGTATTTTTTAATCAGTGTGCTATTAGAAATATATTGAAGAAGTTAACTCCAAATTCATTTATTGACATCTTTATGCATGTAAGTTTTATATCCACTTAGGTACAAAAGTTTTGTAAGAAAGATAACACTTTTATTGCATCATAATTTCATATTTTACAAGTAATAATGCAAACTCAGAAGCATAAATATATATACATGATGCAACCAGATGGCAATGTAACCACTAAAAGACCCAAAATGTAAAACTAGAATTTTAACAGGCAAAATACGTCATATGGCTTTTAATGGAAAATAACTTTAGAAATGTTTCGTTATTGCCCCATTTGAGTCATTCCTATCAGGTGAACATAAAATTACCATCTCCATTCAAAATGGTACATTTTATCTAAGCCAATCTTGCACATGTGTATGTAACTTCTATAAATACACATATATGTACATATGTACAAATAGCAATATACATTACACAGACATTTCTGTTTTAATACCCCTGAACATCTTCATTACAACAAAAGCAATGTTTCTATTATAAAACTACTTGGAAAGTTACTATAACTTCATGGTATTGAAGTTTGGTCCTACAGAATTAACAGAAAAATGTTAGGTTATAAATACATTCTTTACAAAAAATTGAATAGTGGTCCCGCACTCATCCTTTATATTACAGGAAAATGTTTTTGTTCGTTGGAAGGTATTTACATTTTCTTATCCTTGGTTTCTGCATGAAATATACAAAAGAAGTTAAGGTGATCATGTTGTAGGCAGGCCTATTGGTTAGGTTTTTCTACTTGTTTGTGTTTGTCTAAGTTCCAATTCTCTTCTTTGGAGTTGTTATTGATTTCTAGTTGCCTTGTATTACTGCTGCTGCTGCTTCTCTTGGTGTTCTGGGAACACTGGGCGACTTTACTTCTAGGAACAGGAAGAAAAGATTTAACTCTTGAGACACCCAACTCAGTCTTTGATTTACTGTTGCTGCATTCGGTGCTTTGATGGCTGCTGAGAGGACTGGCTTCCTGCAAGAGAGGAGAAACCAACGGGTTTAGCAGCATTGTCCACTTGAGGTGTTAGTCCCTAATTCCTCTCCCAGCTTCTCCCAGTGTGGGCAGAAGCTACCAACTGCCTGGTGTAGACTTCCTGCTTCATTTTCATGGAACTCGCTTCTTAGTATCACTGCACTCTTGACTAAATGCAGGCATCGGGGAGGCAAGTGCTGAAGAATCTAAGTGTCATTCATACCAATAGAAATTGCATAGAACTTTAGGACTGAGAACGTCAAACTGGACAAGCTCAATTGTCATAGTCTAGATATTATAGTTTCCCCTCCAAAGTCTCATGTGTTGAAGGCTTCGTTCCCAGCGGATGGAGCCAATCACTGATGGGCACTGAATCACAAGCATTCTGACTTAATCAGTACACTGGGTTTTGCAGTTTGGTGGAATTATTAGGAAGTGATACGAACTGTCAGTGGAGCCTCACTGGAGGAAGTAGGCAGTTGAATGTGTGTCTTTAATATTTTTATTTATATGTGTGTGTGTATGTGCGTATACCATAGCATGTGAGTGGAGATCAGAGGACAACTTGTTTTCTTTTACCATGTAGGTTCTAGGTATATTAGGACCCGTCTCTTCCTCTACTTCTTGACTACCATTGTGTTATGATTCACCACAGGTCCAGAAACAACAGAACCAGCTAACCCCTGGACTATACACACTGAAATCATAAGCCAAAATATATCTTTCACCATTTTCAATAATTTCTCTTAATTATCTGTCATAGTAACAAAAAGCTAACACACTAACTACGCACTCTCTAGGCAGATCTTCATATTATGTTAGCTTGGCTAAGTCATGTTTTTTATATTAAAAAAATAGGATTTAACCCTTTACTAGAAGATACATTGTCCTAGTTTGTCACATAACAAAGAACATAAGAAAACCACCCTGCTCTACTGGTGTGTACATTCTATTAAAGTAAAGCTCCTGCTTTGCATTTCTGTGACCAGGTCACTCAAAATCTACACATGGTCACACTCTGTTCTAATTTGTTAGTGCTGCTGAGCCACTGTAATCACCTGGCTAACATTTCCCACTTTCCCCATAAGGAATATGACAGCTAGATGGCTGAGAGTATCTGTATAGTCAGCACAAGGAAGTTGGAAATTCCCCAATGTTTCCCCACTTTTACCCAAGGTCCTTTGGCCCATATTATATGAAATTGTGCAAAGCTCTGAGACGATGAATATCATTTTGCTAGTAATAACAGCACTGCAATCACTGAAAGATTTAAAACTAGGATTTAACAGGATGACTTGGAATGGAAAGTGACAATTTGTCTTTAACCGGTCTGAAGTCAGAGGTTCTTCATGTTGGCCATAATGCTGCAATTGGCTGGGCGGTGCTGACAGGCTGATTGCCCAAAAGTCAGATTTGATTTGACTTGGGTGGGGCATGGTACATGGCTTTGAAACATCCCCTACATGCGTAAAGTGCATTCAAAGTTAAACACATCAACTCTTCAAGATCCTTTTTCTGCATTGAGCTACTCAGTGGTGGCACTGAGCTGAGCCTTCTCTGTTCACACAGTTGGTGATCCCTTCTTACTGCCCATTCTGTTTGCATTGTCGCTAATTAGTTAGCTCCCACCTATGCTTTGAGGACTGCATTTCCACACAACAAGTCAATATAACTAACCTTGCTCTTTAATCTTCATTTTTAATTTAATCTTTCTAAGGTTTCTCCTACAACAGATCCATACTGTTCTTTAAGCTGGGTAGGAGTCAGTTATCAGTTATTTTTTTGTATCTGCTTTTCTGTCTTCTACCTAATGCAAGGTTTCCTGCAAAATCAGTAAATAATTATTATGGCAGTGTTGGTGGAGAAAAAACATGTGTGTCCTGTGTGTGTGTGGGGGGCGACTGATTAAATTCTTAGGTATGTCACTAAAGGCCCTTTCTTGAGTCCATCTCTAATCTCCCTTTCCTACCATTTTGGCTCTATTACACAGTCCTAATAATTCCCCCTATATGACCAGAACCACTTCTAAATCACTGAAGTGAAATCTACTTGTGCCAGAATTTCAGAGACAGCTAACTGTTGAAAGCTCTGACATACCTTTGTCTGGAGCTTTCAACACTTTGCTAATGAATGAAAAGCAGCGAGGGAGCCCTATGAGGTCTAAAGCATATGAATCTTTAGGGGAAAGAAGGCTAGGCTGCATGTGGCCTGGGAAAGAAAGATTTATTTCAGACATAGTTGCTCTTTAGGAGATCATTAAACATTTGCATTATGTTGTTTTAGGACTAATGGCCTGGGAAGAAGAATGGTCACACACACACTCCAATCTGTGCTCTCGTGCAGCTAATGATATGCTAACAGTACAACAGAAAACGGAAGACAACCACCATTTTTTTAGCATGGTTGGTTTTCTTTGAAAAACTGTTAATGCTGATATAAGAATTTATATTATTGTTTTAATATGAGGCATCTTTCCATAAGCTTATGAGTTTAATGCTTGGTTATGTACTGTTTGGGAAACTCATAGGAACTTCAAGATGTAGGATTTGGGCAGCAAAACTTAGGTAATTAGGAGTGAATCCTTAGAGTTTCTTGTCTTTGGCAACCTTCTGTTTCCATCTTTCCTTCCTGTTTACAAAGGAAGTAAATATTTCTCCTTAGCCACACACTTCCCCAAACATGATGCTCTGCTTAAGTGAACTTGAACTAAAACCACTCAAGCCATGAGACAAATAATTTCCTCCCTTTCATTATTCTGGTTAGAGATTTGGTCAGAGTTATGAAAAAAAGAACTAATACAGCTCAGCTTGGGTATTGGATGGTGAGAATCATGTGCTGAGACATGACTGTAAGATCACAGTAAAGACACAATAACTTCATGGGGCTCTTAATCATTGTCCTAGTAAGGTGCATTGCTAGGATAAATTCCAAGCAAATTTGTTGTGGGATCTCATTCCACCAATAGCCTTTGGGTACCAGGCTTAGGGAGTGGCTTCTGGTTTGTGGATAAGTGACTGCTTAAGAGTAGAGAGAGACAGAGGCCATGGCACTATTTTGGGTTGTGAAGACTGGGTCAGGCAGTATCAAGTGACATGTGGTCATTTCCCAGCTTCCTTGGGAAAAGCAGAAGGACTGCAGCAGGATATATCTTGTCCTGTATCTCTGAGTCTGCTGCCCCTAACCACCCCCCTTAATAAACTGGTGTGTGTGTATAACCATACACACCTTTGTGGTTTGCATTATTGGTGGCGCCCAATGAGACCCTGAGTTGAAGAGATGTAGGGTCAGGATGTAGAGAGAGGTGAATATAGTTCTGTACTCACCCTCTATATTTTATTCAGGCCAGATCCTCAGTCTGCTGGATGGTAATTATCCCCTCCTATGTGTGTCTTCACACAGATAAACCTCCTAGAACACCCTCACAGACACAACAGAGGAGTGTCTCCATGTTGATGCTAAACTCAGTGAAGACAAGAAGATTATAAGTTGGGGACTAGATTTATGTGATAATTTGGCCTAAAACACAGTAGACTACTTACGCTACTTAGTGGTACACCACTGTCTAGCATGGTGGAGGGTTGGGATTCCCTCCCTGACATAACGAAAAGAGCAGACTATGATAGCATCTAGCTATAATACAGAATGAAGCCTGTAATCTCACCATTTTGCTGATTTATCTCTGGTGAAACACTGAGTTAATACCAAGACCCAAAACAGGAAAGGAGACAATGTGGTGTGTTTTTAAGTCTGCCCTTTGGTCTGCATCATGAAGACAAGCAGAATGGCTACACAAATTACTAAAAATTCTCCCAGTAACAGCTAAAATATATGTTTGGGGTGTTCAGGCTGAGTCAGTTTCTGGAGGTATGAGGCTCACTTAGCCTTAGTGTGGGTCATAGAAATTCATGATTGAAGTGTGCAAAACAGAAAGCATGCCTATGGACAGTAAAGGATGATGTTCCCAACACCCTCCCAGCCAAGCATAGGTTTTAAGGTATTTTTCTCAAAGATCTTCAAGCAGGAGCCTTAAGAACTGTTCAATCCCTCTTGACCTAAAACTTTGAAATTCCCTCATTTAGCCCTCTAACAAAAACTCTATTTCCTATACTTGTTTTAAACATTTAACCCTAGCAAACTATTTTTAAATCAGAGCAAGCTATTCATCCAATACTAAGCATTTTCTACACACTAAGAAGATATGGTGATCTCTCTAGACATCACAGGTGGGAAGAAGAGGAAACTGTGGGAAGATGTGTTGCCTCCAGCATACAGGACTGTATCCAGGGTAAGGGGAAGAAGGAAGAGGGAAAGGCCATCAGGGAGGGGAATACAATTCATATGTATAAAAGTTGTATGAAGGTATATTAGCCTCTCAAAAAATCTATTTGGGAATAAAGAGAGTAGACAGTAAAGACAGAAGAGAGCTACATTTCAGATCACTGGATGTTATGCCTGGCTACACATGAGAATCCAGGATCTCATTTATTATTCAGTTTAGTCACATGTAGAGGGCAGAGTTCCGGAAGTAAAAATTAATCAAAACCATCAAGTAGATGTCATTATGCCAACAAAGACTTTTGCGTTGGAAAGGTTAGTCTGCATTTACATCATTTAGGTATGAGGAAAGCATTTACTATATTTGTCTTTTCTGTTGATGATTGACTTGCTTTTCTGTTTCGATTAAGAAACAGTTACAGTCCCTCACTGTCAGGGCAGAAAGGAGTTACACTAGGGCAAGAGAAGGTTCTTGACGGAGTATGCCTTCTGGCCATGAAGGAGAAAGTAATTTCAGTTAATCCAGAACCCTCTCACCTCTCAAGGGAGTTATTTCCTGATAAGAGGAGAAACTGGGCACGGAACCAAGAAATGCTAGGTGAGTTGTAATTATGATAGAACAGGAAGGACTCTGCCAGCTTGCAGACAGCTGTGGTGCTTTGCCCTCTGCTGGCAGCTGCTGAGAAAAGCATCTTCTATACCGGGAGAGTCCCTCCAAGTGCTTACATACATACACACCAAGCAAAACAAAGAGACCCAATGCAGCTACCCTAACACCCACAGCCAAGGCACATTTAAGCCATCATCTAGCTCTGAAGAGGTCAGGCAGGATAAAGGACACCTTTGTCTCTTAAGGCTCCCTTCTAACACAAAGCTGTCCTGTCTGCCTGTGGTTTAGATCATTCTTAGTACGGTTCTCTTAAGGGCTTATTGGGAATAGCACAGTATTATTGTCTAATAAAAAATAATGGTTCTCTATCAAAGATTTAAACAAAAACATTCTCTGGCAAATAATTTGTTTCAGTGCAGAATTTTGAATCGAAAGACTTAAATGTGCTAGAAAAGGATTCTACCACTGAGCTATAACCCCAACTATCAGATAATAATAATTTCATACAAAAATGACCTGGTACCAGGGGGAAATTTCTCATTCTACTTCAAGATCTTTACAGCCCCTTCCTCTATGCCACTCAAGGAATCCTAAGGGATGGTTCTAGGGGATCAACCAAAGCTCAGAGAAGCCATCACACATAGACAGTGAGTTAAGGATTTCAAGGCGGCAGAAGGACAACCTATGAACAATATGCTTTCAAACTCCAATGGCCAGTAATGACACAAGGACTGTGCCACACATCTAGACTGCTCCTAGTAGCATGCTATGCATTTTGGCTTCTTTAACTACTTTCAATACAGACACCACACTAGCCAGAACTAGAATCCAATGAAACAATGGAGGCAGAAGAAGCTGTGAACCCAGGTCTGCCAGGTAAATAGTTAAAGAGCAGTTATTTAATACTTGCGCCACGGAAACTTTGCAATTCTGCTCTCTATACTCCACCTATCCTCACATACACAGGTCTTTGTAAGCCATTGTGAGAGTAGATGTGGACAGAATGGGAATGGCAATTAGACAGGGCTTGTTGAACAAACCACATGTTACTAAGCACTTCTAGGTCCTATGCATGCTCACAAAGTAATGGATGGGCGGGACTGAACCCTTTGTTCCTGTTCCCCAGAAGACCAAGCTGTACTGTCTCTTGCATGGGTTAAAAGAATCTGTATGAAGCTTGGTTCTTCTGTTTGCCTTTGTGACTTGCTTTTGAATGACTATCTCTCACTAGAACTCAAAAGAAATGAGTCACTTTTAAGTGCCTAGATCTTTTAGGTTATCATTCAGCCCTTGCTATATTTAACTCAAGGTTCACCAAATGCAAGGAATCTTATGCCATGTGTCGAACAAAAAAGAAAACAGAGACCTTAAAAGAAGAACTATTTTGAAATATCAAATAGAAAGAAAAACACTTAGGTCAGTGCGTGACACGGACATTTTAAAATCTTAATTGATTTGTGTATATTTCTTCCCACCTCTCCTTTCAAAATTAACTCCAGAGTTGAGTTGAGAAACAGGTTCTACAATAAGCGCTTTCCCCTCTCATTTTGGGGGGAAAAACATTTACCTTCTGTGGCACTGGCATTCTCAGCTCCACAGGCGCTGAAGATCCAGGGTTGGTTCTTGAACTATCAAACTTCCTTAAATCATCCCCGGAGTCAGCAATCTGCAAAACACACAAAGTAGCACATCAGATCCCCACTGTCCCATCACAGCTCACCAGCAGCACAGCTCCATGCCACCACAGAAAAGCCACCCAGTCCCCTCACCTTGAAAAGATGCCTCCAAGCTTTGTCCTGCTCAAAGGACAGACTTTATATCACAAACCTACTAAAAACATCTCTTACATGAAGAGAACAACAACTTTCTCGAAAAAAAATAGTCACTTGGCAAGTTTTTTAAAAGGGAAGAAAAATTTAATATTTGAACCATTACCTCATTTTTCCAGTAGATAAGAATTTCAGTTCATTTCCAGCAAGGTCAAAAAGGGCAGTGGCTTCTCCTTTTTCCTAGAGAGTTTAACTGTTCAACTAAATAGTTCAGTCTTTCACTGGATCCTGGGCATGTTGTGACTATCTTTGCTCCCTTCCAAGTAAACGTGTTAATAGAGGAGGCATGTTCAAATGCACTGCAGATACTTGAGTGCCAAAACTGGTTCAACTTGATGCTATTAATGTTTTCCTTGACATTTCGGGAAACTGGTTTCTATAGCTGGTTCTCAAGTTTCACAGCTTAAAGACCATGACAATGCATATTATACAGGACCATTCCTTTACTTATTTGAAAAGAATGTTGTAACTATGTCTGTAACCCAAATCTGCTAAGAAGCTTGTCTCTTCCCAGTAGCCTCTGTGCAAAAATTGGCAATAATAATCTCTTAGAAATTTAAATTCAGTTTTTTTTGTATAAAGCTACTTACAGTGAGACAGACACTGAGTTCAAGGGTACCCTAAGCTACCATAGCCACAGGCAATCTGCATCAAAAAATCAGGGCAGGGGTGTATCTCAGTGGTAAGACACTTATCCAGCATGCAAAGCCATAGGTTTCATCCCCAATATCAAACACAAACCCTCCCCAAATCAAAATACTGGTCAAATATTTATGTGTCATATATGTATGTGTGTGTGTGTGTGTGGCTTGATTTGTGCTGATATGATTAACATACAATTTTAAGTCCAGGTGTTTCAGAGGAGAACAACAACCCCTACTACCCAATGGCTTGGGGACAATAGATTTTCTGATCAAAGGATGACTTGATTTTTCAGCATCAGCCATGACACACAACATGAAATTTCACCAAGGGGACGAGTTTCAGGATGTGGCTCCCAGATTCTGTTGTAAAGGTGGGTTTACTGGACAGAGGCAAGGATCTAGCCCTGGGGACCACTTACCTTGCTTATATCAGACTCAGATTTGCTGGAGCACATACTCTGGAGTTCTTTGACAAGATCTGCTTCATCATCTGAACCCAAAGAGAGTCTGTGGTCCAAAGTCAATGTCAGTGAGAGATCGTTCTCTAAGGGCCTGTTACAAAGACCAGAGAAGAGTTTTTCAGAATGAGAACAAACCAGCTACCAAATATGGAAATCTAGACACTATACCTTCTAAACTTTCTTTGAGATGGAGAAGAGTTTTCCATATCCTTCCAAGTATTTCATAAATGTTATCCAAAGCAACAACAACTCCATACCAAGAGACAATATGTCATTAACTTACAGTCAAGTAACTTTGTAGAATAACATTTGGTTTTCACAAAGAGAGCTACATAGGTGCAAACTATTCTAATCTCCTTTCTCTCACCCTTTCTTTCAGGCCAGACAAAATCTTTAAAGGTTCACCAACATGACTGCCCAAATGTGAGCTGAACAAAGACGATACCAACAGACATGCCAAAGTGCACAGAGAAAGCCCCTCCTACAGTAAGAACTGCAGGCACCTAACAATGTCCCCAGGAAAGAAAGCACCAATTGGTCATCCAATACCAGTGTCACCCATGAAACACACATATGAGTAACATTATACAGACTTAGCAGGTTATATTTAGGAATATTTTAAATTTGAAGGACAGTGGTAAAGGAGTATATGGGAAAGTTTACAACAGTGACTCTCAACCTTCCTAATGCTGTGACCCTTTAATACAGTTCCTCATGTTGTGGTGACCTCCAACCAGAAAATCATTTGTTACTTCATAACTGTAATTTTGCTACAGTTACGAATTGTAATGTAAATATCTGATATGCACTCTCCAAAAGGGCCATGACCAACATGTTGAGAACCACTGGTTTAGAGGGAAGGGAAGGGAGGAATGACATATTGTATGAATCTCCAAAAATTATAAAATTTTTAAAAAGCAGGATTTTGTTTGGTGGGTTTGGCACACATGTCCGTATGATACACTGGCATAAAAATTCATTTCAATCTGCCCTGCACTAGCAATGCAGCCAAGGCCAGCCAGATTATTTCCGCCTATGAGCTCAGACCCTGAATTCTCTTTGAAAAACAATCCTTAGAACTCCTCTTTAGGGATACAGGGCAAGTTATACAAGCTTTGGTATTTGCGTGGAAAGACAAAGATGCAGTTTCCCTACTTCTCCTCTGTAGAGAGTATCAAGAGAGTACATGATATATTTTATTTCAAACTGCCCAAATATTCCTATCCCATGACTAGCTAAATCTTTATAGTTCAAAATATGTGTAGCTGAAATAATCAACAATATCATAAGGGCAATATAGTGAAATGATCACTATAAATACAGTAGTGTATACAGGTCATGCTGTTTGCATCAAAAAGTCATCCACAGATTGTCTAAACCTTCACAAATATAAGACTTGCCTATAGATTTGATAAATGACCAAGTTTGATTTTTAGAAGTGAAACCTATTTCTCTAGCTTTATTCAACAAACTAAAAGCAAAATGGGTTTTATTATAAGCTTATGGAACTGAATGCAAATTTTCATTTAAAGGTTTTATTAACACACTGTCTTCAGTTAATATCTATTACTCCAAAATCAAACTAATGGTATAACAGCTGCACAATATAATGTTAACAGTATATGGAATACTTTAAAATAATTAAAGTTAATTATTAAACTTGTTTTCTTTGATGCAAGTGAAACTTAAAAGGGAACTTACTGTTGCTTTGACAGTGAGGTGTTCCTGCTACAATTCAAATGTGGTATAGTCTTATTTTTCAGACCTGTGAAAAACAGTCATTTTCAATAGAGTGCATCATTATCCTGTGCATTAAGAACTTAGTGTTTAAAAAAAATAAACAGGTTCTGGACTCTGTGGCAGGGGGCATGGATTAGCATCCACCTTGAGTGGGAATATTCTTGGGACAGTGATGCTGGTGTTGTTTCTAACACAGGGGTGGTTGGAAGGTTGGGGAATAACTGATTTCCTTATGGAAGTACATGCTGGGGTCAATTAAATTAAAACAACCTGAAGCTCAGCTTAGGAAACTTGACATTTGTTTTTATCTATGGCTCTTCTACTCAGTAGCTGGCATATTGATTTATTTAGGTTTGTGCTCCCAAAGTACCAAAAGAGGGTCTCAGTACCTGCCATTTCATGATGCTAATCTATAACCACATGCAGATTTTGTTGCATTAAAATGTCAATATGACATCAGCAATACACTTGTAAAATATTAATTTTTAGTAACTTATGCATCATTCAGAAATTAGGAATAACATATAAAGAGGCATGGCAATCAAACAAACATTTTCCAATTTGTAAATCATGGTCCACTCAAGAAAAAAATATCAGACTGGATGTATTCTTACATAAGAATTATTTGTATGAGGTATACATTGGGTATATAATGGTTATGATGTGAGGTATTTCCTACTAGAAATGTCCAAAAAACACCACTAAGCCTTTTCCTACAACTTTTATAAACACACTAAAATGCTTAGCTACTTCTGAGTGAAATCTAAAATTGTGTGAATGTTGCAGACCCAAATTTTCTATTAAAAAATGGTTTTAGGCTGGATTGTAACTTAATGATATAGTGCTTGCCTAGGATGCTCTGAACCCCGGGTCTGAATGCTACAGTAACAAGGAAAACGATAAACTAAATTGAAAGTAGTAGGTCGCCAAAGGTCACTGCACTAGTTTTCATTCATCTTGTTCTCTGACTGGTGGCAGCTTCTATTGGCATTGCCCTGGTCACTGCCTAAGTACAATGGTGGGCACTGTTGAATGGAAGCCTGCGATCACTGATCTTCCTGTTAGATCTAGAGAGAAATGGACAGTCTTTACGTATCTTATGAACTTCCATAGTGATCTGGGAGGTCCTTTTATTTTTCTTTCTGTTATGGGCCACTTGTACACAGTAGGCAAGATCTTTCCCAACACGTACCATGTTTGTCAAAAATCAAGATCAATTACAATTGGATCATTGTAATTATCCAATGTAATTACTTGAGAAAAATCATTGTTATAAAAATAAAATATCCAAAGTACTTATCAATGAGTTATGTGCTTTGCAAAATTTGTTTTTAGATACTGTGCTGAAATCAGTGCAAATACAATATTAAAACACTGTTTATTAATCTTTCACAAAAATGTTCATGTTTTGAAGTATACATTTGATATCACAAAGCATTCTAAATCAACAAAATTATCCAATTGACATTTTTAATTGGCTTAAAAATTTTGGAGATGGGGTCTTACTGTGCATCTGGCTGGCCTGGAGCTCACTATGTACACCAGGTTGGACTCAGAGTCACAGAGCTGCTGGGCTCTGACCCACGGCATTGGAATTGAAGACAGATGCCACTACACATGGTTTAATGTCCTAACAGCAGAGCTGAGCTTTCTGTGTTGCTTATTTCCTCAGTGTTGCTTCCCTATTTCTTGTGCTGATTCTGGTTGTCAACACTACAGCACATGGTGACAATGCTTATGGTTCAGGTAATTATTTACTTCAAGCTATTAATTTCTTTTAAAGTCTGTGAGGAGTTTCTGGCTGTTTTCCCGCTCCATACCCAGTACCTAAAATTTCACATGGCCCTGTACACACTGCCATGCAGGAAACCAATACTTACTAGAACTGATTCACTCATAAATGCCTTACATTGACATCAAAGATACCTAATGTATTCTTTTAAGGTAAGATCAACTAAGGAATGGCATATAGTAAGGCTGATGAATTTAATTTTGGACACCAAGGAAACAAATTAACTTTTAAAATGTCACTTAGCAAACTGAAGATGGATTTTCTGTTTCTAGTATGAATGTGGTATTTTTCAGATAGAAGGCTCCCAGTTATGTTTGGAAAACTACTACATGGTTCACGGCATGCAAGTGAACTGAACACCTCAGAGCTTTGGCAGAATTCAGTTTGAAGGACGAACGCCCACTTGCATTCAGGAACTGGGTCATACACACCGCCCACCTCCTACCTTCTTGCTTTCGGTCTGGCTTGCTCCACGTGGGTGAGGAAAAGTGGCCAGGCTTCTTGCGAGGACTGGTGTTCACCTTTCTCCAGGCCCCACTGTCTCCTTTCTTCTTGCTGTAGCTTGAAACTATGGACAAAGGAAAACTTCCCCCTTTGAAGTCTGCTATATGCTGGTCTAGCTCTGAAACAACACAAACCACAGGGTTTTTTTTTTCCTAAGAAGAAGGGGAGATAGCACTGTTTCATAATGTAACCTGAATTACCTGGCCACCTCTTAAATCATAAGCTTGTAAACAGTAACCACGCTGGAATTGTCTGGACCAGCACAAACTCTACTTGGAGGTCTAGCATTCAAATACGTGCTAGTAATTAATAACAGAAAGAGTTCTGGTACAATACTATGAGCAGTACATTCATTTCCCTAGTTACAAGAAGACAAAAGAATACTCCATAAAAACAAATTCCAAACAGTGACAGCCCTATATACCTGCCCTGGGAAGGGGACAGCCATGCAGAACGGCTTTATTGAGCAGGATGCTGAGAGCAGCCTTCACCACAGCCTGCTGTCCTTGGCTAGGGTGCTTCTTCGAAGCTGTCTGCCCAACACCAGGCTGTCTGTTCATGGAGGCTCTTGACAATATTGCTTCTTGAACTCTGGGAGCGATGACGGCATTCCACAGCTTAGACATCCACCTTACAAGAGAGGGAGAAGGGGCCCTTTATGCAAGTTCACAAAAAACTTGAGCAAAATTAAATGGCATGATTTTGTTGGTTGGCTACTTTTGGGGGGGTACTTGTATAATATAATTATCCAATACCAAATAATCTAATACCAAAACAGTTTGAATTTTTCTGAAGAACAATGTATTTCAAATGAAACTGATTATTTAAATGCCTGCCTTAATCCTAGAATCAGTAGTATCTACACAATTAATTAATGCATGATAAAGATGTAAAGATGAAGGCAAACTAGAAGGCATTTATCCAAAAATCATATTTCTATAAAACCGTGTCTCGATATCTTACATTTGTTTGACACATTTCATTAATAAGACACAAATATATTTTAATATTTGAGTTGGGCTATATCACTGACCAATTAAATGTCTGCCCCAATGCAGGGCCTCCTCACTACCCATGTACACATACATGGCTCAGCCCTGCAGAGAACTTGGCCATTCAGCTGTAGCTTCAGGCACGCCTCTTATACTTTAGCTGTAAACTCTGGGGACTGTGGCTGAAATTGGAGCGATCAGTGCTAGTGACAACGTTTTTTGCAGCACTAAAAGCTACAAGTGCAGGAAAACTTGCCTAGAATGTTTGAATATCTAGTTTGATATCTAGTATCAAAAGGAACAAAAACCAGTTAAGACATTTTTTAGTATGTAGAAGCAAAACAATGTCTCTAAGACTAGAGACATTTTCAAAGCTATCAGATATTGGCATAAAATTTCAGATATTCTTAAAAGCTGTTAAAACTCTGGTTTATTGCAAGAATCTGCTAGTGCTTAGTTACAGATAATTCAGGAAAAATAATGAAACAATAGAGCATACAGACAAACCCTAGGTTTTCTAGGCAAGCATTCCCTTCTCAGACTCTGAGCCTTGAATACGCTAGGCAAATATCCTACCTAAACAGCACCCTCAGCCTCTACAATTCTATAATTCCAAATTATAGCTGTTTTCAAGAGTGCTGAATATATAAAGAAAGGTTTGAAGACAGGCAGGCTGACAATCATTTTAGGCCTTTCTGTACATCTCATATCATCTTTAGTTCTGTACTGTCCCCCATGACTTGAAAAATCTAGATAATGTCTCTTTCAGAGCAGCAGGCAAGAGCAGGAGAGATTGTAATGTTTGCTTTCCAAGAAAAAGAGTGGACATATTGCCCAGCATTGCTCTTTGGAAGAGGAATGTTCAAAGCTATAAAGCATGGTTTCGGTTACCACTACATGACACTCAGGGGACTGGAGGGAAATCTATGTAGTCATATAGCCCACTCTGCATACTGGCTGTGGGTGACAACATCCCTCTCACCTAATATCCTAACCATAGTGAGCTGACATAGTGTCAGATGGCTAAGGAGATGAGATTTCCATGTCTACACAGTTCTTGTGCAAAGACTACACTCCACATGGCCAAATTGGTTGCTAAGAATCCTGAGGCTCTAGATGTCAACACAAAATAAAACAACAAAAAACCCAGCTGTGTTTAACTGTGATGATGGAATGATTTTCACCTATATAAACATAGGTTTAATCAAAAGAATACTGTGTCTGTTTTAATATCTCCCTCCTTCCCCTCAACTACTCATTTCATTGGTGGCTTTTTCTATAACAGGGTTTTTCCATGTAGACCTCGCTGTCCTAGAACTTCCTCTGAGGTAGGCCAAGCTGGCCTGGAACTTAGATATCCACCTGCCTTTGCCTCCTGAGTACTGGGATTAAAGGCATGTGCCATGACTGCTTGGCCGATATTTTATTTGTATCTTATGCTTTTCAAAACAGATTTTTTTTGCTCAGCACGCTAGACTACTCAGCCTATTCAGAAGCAAACACACTACCAAGCTGAGCTGAATAGTGACCATTTACTTCCTCTTTTCCATCTCTTCTTTTTCTAATTCATTAGGCTTATTTATTTATTTATTTATTTGTTTGTTTGTTTGTTTTTGAGACAGGGTTTCTCTGTATTGTTTTGGAGGCTGTCCTGGAACTCACTCTGTAGACTAGGCTGGCCTCGAACTCAGAGATCTGCCTGCCTCTGCCTCCCGAGTGCTGGGATTAAAGGCATGTGCCACCAACGCCCGGCAAGGCTTATTTTATACATGTATAGCTCTTGTATGTTCTATGTTAATGGAAGACACAGAAAATGCCAATCAATGAAAGAGGGAGTTTGTCAATGCCTCCTCTAATTGCTGGTTTGGGGGATGCTGAGATGACCCAGGGATTACAAGCACTGTCTATTCTTCCAGAGGTCCTGAGTTCAATTCCTATCAACCACATGGTAGCTAAGTCTGTTGCCCTTTTCTGGCCTGGAGGTATACATGCAGGAATAACAGTACACTAAATAAATCAATCAGTCTTTAAAAAGAAAACAAAATGTTGGTTTTGCTTGCTTGATGGAAAGGGATGCTTAAAGTATTTGAGGTTTCTTATATGAGACTTCACCATAAGGATAAATAGCAAGCTATACATGTAAGCATGTGTTGTGTATCAGTAAATACTCACAGAGAATAGCTGCTGTTATCTTAGCAAAAACTATGTAACAGACAAGTTATAGTCACTCTGTGACAGGAAATAGCCAAAGCAGTCTTGTCAATGGTCTCTGTCTAAAGCACGCTAAATTTGCCACATGTCCTACTTTTTCCCATTGCTAGGATAAACACCATGAACAAAGCAACTTAGGAGAGAAAAGGGTTTACTTAAACTTCTAGGTCACATCATTAAGTGAAGTCAGGGCAGGAAACTGAAGCAGGAACTACAGAGAAATGCTGCTTGCCCACTGTCTCCTCCTCAGCTACCTTTCTTAAGATTTATTTTATTTTTATGTATGTGGGTGTTATGCTTGCATGTATCTCTGTGTATCATGTGTGCATCATGCCCTTGGAGACCAGGCATTGGGTCCCTGGGAATTCAGAATTACTGATCGCTGGAGTTGCCATGTGGGTGCTGGGAATCAAACACAGGTCTGGAAGACCAGTCAATGCTCTTAACTGCTGAGCTGCCTCTTCACCCCCTCTTAGCTAGTTTTCTTATACTGGTCAAGACCACGTGCCTAGGGATGGTAACACCCATAGTGAATTGGGTACTCATCCTCCTGCAATGGTTAATAATCAAGATAATCCCACAAACATGCCCACAGGCCTATCTAATCTAGGCAATTCTTCCATCATGGGTTTCGTCAGATGACCCTAGGCTGTGTCAAGTTGACTTAACAAGCATTGTATGTAAATAAAAATTGGCACTTACTTCACTGTTGCTTGGGCGTGTCCTGGAACTACTGGACAAGACAGGAAATACTTGGGTCCAAGAAGTGCTTCTGGTGTACCCAAGCGGGACAGGCAGGAGTTGAGCTGCCTCCAGACAGACAGAGCCCAGCCCACGATCTTACACACAGGATCACAAGGCGAGGGCGGCTGACCCCTGAACTAGAGACAGGGGGAACACAGAGTTGTGGCTTAGAAAAACAGTGCTTTTATTTTGAATTTAAAGTTCAAAATTAAAATATAAACCATAAAATCCAAATTTAGTGGAGTCTGACTTTGCCTTTGCTTGGGGTAGACGGATGTTACAAAAGCAAATATTGTCCATTATGTAACTAACATGTTCACCCTACATGTGTTCACATACCAGTATCTTAAGTGTTTTTACAAGATTTTCCACTACATGCCTTATTAATCAGGAGAATGAAGCACAAAGACCTAATACCTTACACAAGTTACAGAGCTACCAGGGGGCAAAGCCAAGGCTAAGGCTTATTTACAATTTTATGTTAAGACATAATTGAAAAATAATTCTACTTATGCTATAATGTGATGTTTTGAACATGTATGCATTGTGAGATGAATAGTTCAGACTGTTTACAATATGCACTATCTCATGTACATGAAATACTTTTAATGGTGAATACATTAATGATGTAGTCTTAGCAAATTTCAAGTATATATTAACTATACATGTCTATTCCTAATAAAGAGGAAAATGGTATTAGGACACAATATTTAGTAATATGTAATATTAAAAGGGTATATCATACTTAAAAGATGTTGTGCTGGAGAGAAGGCTCAATGGTTATGAGCACTGACTGTTCTCACAGAAGACCTGGGTTTCATTGCTGGCACCCACATGGCCAACTCACAATTGTCTGTAATTTCAGTCTCAGGGGATCCCTCTTTGGGCCTCCTCAGGCACTGCATTCATGTGGTACATTAACATATATGCAGCCAAAACACCCACACACAGAAGATTTTTGTTTTACGAGACAGGGTTTCTCTGTATTGTTTTGGAGGCTCACAGAGATCCGCCTGCCTCTGCCTCCCGAGTGCTGGGATTAAATGGGATTAAAGGCGTGCACCACCACTGCCCAGAAGATATTTTTTTTTTTGGTTTTTCGAGACAGGGTTTCTCTGTAGCTTTGGAGGCTGTCCTGGCTCTCACTCTGTAGACCAGGCTGGCCTCGAACTCACAGAGATCCGCCTGCCTCTGCCTCCCGAGTGCTGGGATTAAAGGCGTGCGCCACCAACGCCCGGCTCAGAAGATATTTTTAATGTTACTGATAATCATTAAAGTACAGGCAGACCTTTTTCCTCCCAAAGTTAGCACTGATGCTGACCTCTGCTCAAGCTATGCTCCCTGTGTTCAACCATGGGAAAGCAATAAGGGACCAGACTTAGCTGTGTGAGAGGAGGAGGGGAACCAGCAGCTAGCAAGTGAAAGGGTCCCTTAGCAGCCTCCTCAGGACCACACGCCAGCAAGAGGGAGGAGGGCAGAGTCTCTGTGGCAACACACTCCACCATCACTCACACAGGGAGAATGAATTTTTGTTTGTGTTAATATCTTTTCAATGAACTGCTTCCCGAGATCCCACTGTTATACCTCTCATAAAGAAGCATCATTTCCAAAACGAGAATGGAATTTGCCGACTCCTAAGAGCTGAGTAAACAGGTGTGCACCTCTTTCTCCAAAGTATAGATGTTGCTTATAAAAATGTTTCACTTTGCAAAAATAACTGTTATGGGAACAGATTATCACTTGATAGTACATTAAAGTCTGGTGTCTCCTTCAGTCGTCTTTCTGATAAACTGGTCTTACAGTTATTATATATTTTATTTCCTTAATGCATATTCATTTAGCATAAATACAACTTTGTAGGGATGCTTAGGAACTTAGATGTCATAATATGGTATGCCTTCTGTTTATAAGTACTAATTACCAACTCTAAGGAAAACAAAGCATTATAAAGTTAGGTTTCATTGCTTTTGGTGCTAGGAACCCAAGCCTCTACACACACACAAACTACACACTTTCCCACTGAGCTACACCTAGTGTACCTTGCTGGGAACATCAGAGCAGAACAAAGAAAAGGCTGTCCTGGGCTAATGGGGAGTCAGCCCTCAGTTCCAAGGACTGGGAGGTCTGAGGATAGCTAGCCACACAGCACACTCCAAATACCTTCCCTCATCTGGGACAGGCTCATTAACCCAAGCCCCTTCCTGACTGCAATCTTTAAGTACAGATTCAAGCTTCATGTATTGTTATTCAACAGAATCGCTGCAGAATGGCGCAGTTAGGAAACCTAGGAAATGGGTGGAACTTAATTCAATCTCTCACAAGACACAGAGGATATGTGTTAGCTAGGAGAGGCCGAATTAATATTCTATAGGGAACAGAGATGTGGGAGAATGATTACTGATATTCGCAAACAGCAAGACGGATGAAGGGCCTGGGTGATGCCAGTAAAGTGCTTTCCATGCAAGCAGGAAGACCTCAGTTCAATCCCCAGACCCACATAAACAGGCCAAGTGTGGTGGTGTGTCCTCATAATCCCAGCACTGGCGAGCTGTGGCCAGATGGCTTCCTGGGGCTTGCTGTCCAGATAGCTTAACTTACTGGGAGGGCTCAGGTCACTAAGGCCTCTAGATCTGTCTCAAAAAATGAAGTGAACACAGACCCGTAGAACACTAGCAAGTTTGATTTCTGGTTTTCACATGTGCACATGCACATGTATGCGCACACAAATGGGTGAAAAAGTGATGATCTTTCACAATCTACCTGTTTGTTATTAATTCAAGCTGGCAGATCTGATGCGTCTACCCAGCATGTCGCCAAGGAAACTCTCTTCTGTTATAGTTGCTTCAAGCCCCCACCACATCAGTTCGTCCTTGTGTTCAAGATCTGCTGCAACTACTGTTCCTTTGTCTGAAGCCCTGCCTCTCTAGTCTTAGCTGTGGCTTCCTTGGTTACAGCACAGATTAGAATATCCCAAAAACCTTACATGTGACCAGAGAGAGGACTTACCATGCTAGTACCTCTTATGTTTCTACAACCACCTGTTTGCTGTGATGGATATCTTAGCGCTGTGCCCACCGGTCACGGAAAATCAGAACTGAGCCCAAAGTCTTACATAGTACTGTTCATCAGATTCATAGCCCTGCCTTTCAGGAAGTGTGACATCTTCATCTGCTGGCCGAGTTCAGGGTGAAGTGCCAAGAGTCAGGGTTATACACCCAGATTGAATATGACAGTCAGGTAAGCTCACTTCACACGAATATGTTTAGAAAAGCTATGCACACAGCCACACCTGAAGGGGCTCTCCTGGTTCCCATTTTATCTAGGAAAATTTGCGTTCAGATCATAGACCCTCACCATGCTCTCTGACTGAAATGCAGGCTGCCAATTTGCAGTAGCAACTTTAGCTTTTGGTGTGTGGCTAAAATAGAACTTTACTGCCTATTAAGATAAAGAGGTAGAGTACAAGAATTGGGAAAACATTGGAATCACAGGATTTGTGATCTTAATTTTCTGCTTTTTAAAATAAGACTTACTTGAGTATTTAGGAAGATTGATTTGCAAGGTAGCAAAAGTTCTTAAAGTTTTAAAGGCCAACTAAATTATTTAAGAAAATTTAATTAATTTATAAAACATCCTTTAAAACAACTGTGAAATCTTGCTTCCCTTATACACAGAAAGACAGAGTTTGGTCAGTTAGACCCAAAGCCATCTTGGTAGGTGGGGATCCCATGCACTGAGTATGTTTTTAAATATATTATTTGATATTTACATTTAAAATATATTTAAAAATCTCTCTTGAATAAAAACTACCCATCATAGTTCCATCACCTGGTGAGGGTGGTGACTTGGTAAGGCCCTTCTTAGGGTAGTTGAAGGAGTGTCACTCTGCTTTGGGAAGGTGGCTACTGGTAATTGTCCCTGCCCAAGTGGATGGTCCTCCCCCCAACCCCCGAACATGTGGACAGCACTGATTGTGTTATTAACAATAAAAGGGAGGACTTCAAGTTGGGAAGGGAGGCATGGTGGGAAATATTAGAGGGAGTGGTGGATGGATAAGGTCAAAATACATTGCTTAAATGTATAATTTTTAAGAACAAACAAATATTATTTACAAAAGGATAAGTGCAAACATTAGTACATGTTTGTATGGGCTACACGAAGGGGATGATTTGATCAAGGAAAAAAAAAAACTAAAAAACCCTCAAAAACCCTCTCATTTTCTCTAATATTCTTCCAGCAAGAACTCTCATAGCAGTGTTATAATTAGAGCTAAATGTTGCTTTCTCTCTAAAATATAATTATTTGTTTAGCATCTTTAAAGATATATTTCACAGCATCGCTGAAAGATTTGTGAGAAGAGGTTATTACCAAGCACAAACATGCCTCTAAATGCCTATAAGAGTTCAGCTTCCTGTGCTACAAGATTCCTGGTGTTTTGTAGTGATCACTTGCTCCCATTGTGTGCTCACTCCAGGGAGCCTATTTTATTAGCTTTGGAAGTGATTCCTGGGAAATGAGAGGCATCAATCTGCTGCCTCCATCCTCTGTGTGCCAGATCCCAGGCTCAAATGCTAGGAACCAGAGCAGCAAGAGCTCCTTTGCTGCCATGTTTACAGGAGAGCTGCTGGGGGCGGGGGTCAAGTCTGGAGAATTAAAGCACTTATTAAAACTAACTTTAGTAGTTATTAATCATAAACATTAGCCAAATTAATTATTTTAATTAATAGCGTATGCAAATATTAATATAGCTAAAAATTAATGGAAGGATTAGTAACTTGAAAAAGTTCTGATTGACATTTTTTTACCTCACATTTCTTTCGTCTTCCTGAGGTCACATAATAACTTTGCTTTGGTTAAGAGAATGTATTTATGCCTGGGCAGTAGATAGCTCTAACTAGGATTTTCAGATGCTAATTCTAATCGCTGGTGACAGACTACCTACTGAATTATGACAGGCAATTCTTATCCACATTGCTCTTCTCATCTGCCCGTCCACCCAGTCACTCACGCTCCACACATAGACAGCATTGTGCTAAGTGCTTGACAGAGAGTCTTGGTCTTGCACAGGTGCTCTAGTTATGGTCTAGCACTATGGGGTAGACAGTTATTCTCACTGGAATATTAAGAAGAAACTTATTATGATTCTGCAAGTCTCTAGAAAAGAAGCTTTTTTTCTCCATGGTAATCAAAGGTTGACACTACATGTTACTATCTCCTAGTATCTTCCTCTATATGCCTTGAAGTAAGGGCATGGTGTCAAGCATTTTCTGTAGTTGTGAATGGACAGCCAAAAGTCCACCAGGATAAGGAGAGCTGTTTGGTTATCAGTGGGTTTGAATATGATATTGTTAAAATGATGCTGTTCTCTAAACGCTGCCTGTGCACAGGACTGAGACAACTTTACCAAAGTTCTGTTGTACTAAATCTACTCTGATGCTCAGACTAATCAGCCTAATCCCAGACTACTAAATAATAATAATCTTACATTTGGTCAACACAGCATTATTCTCCTAAATTAGAGACTACAAAATAAATATTGTTATTCTTTAAATGAGCACACTAAACCATTTCCCTTCATAGTGTAAAAGGTGTCTATTAAGATGGCATAAACAGTAGGGTGATATCCTCAGGCTCTAAGACATTACTGAGTTTCCCTTAACAACAGTGATTAAATTTCAAATCCAACTTTTTACAACTTTTAGAGCTTGGTGAGATTCCTTGAGGACCATTGATAACGCCAGTAGAATCTGCTAACATTTTCTTGTTCATAATATTATCCCAAAACAGTTACGACTTCTACATGCATTCTCTCATAATGAAACTGTAAAACCCATCCCCATGTTCTTGTCCTTGCTTCCGTGCAGAAGGTGTTGAGAGTCCCACATCCTCCGCTCTTATTCAGCTCTGGGATGCTCACAGATTATCCTAGCCCGGGGTCACATGGTAAGTGGCACTCAAGCCCAGGTAGAAGCTCCCCGTCCCAGCTTCTTCTTGTTACCTTGTTTACTACTTTCCTTCTCAAGAACCTCTGCAGCAGTCCCTGAATGGGCTCGCAATCCCACCGCAGCTGAACCCAGCGGAAGTGCTGCTGCACCAGCAGGTCAGAACCCTGGAGACATGCCTTGGCAATGGTTCCCACCAGAAAGCAGTTCTCGTGGAAGTAATAGCATTCGGACGTTCCATTTCCTAAAACAAAGCAAGCCATGATTCAGGCTCCGCTATTTGTGTTTGGTGTAAATGCAAATTAAGAACATGGGGTATATAGCTTGTGCTTTGAGGACACAAAGACTAGAAGCATACCAAGACATGTATGCATAAGGACACTTAGCAGCCTGGGACTCCCTTTGGCTTGGGCTAGATACACAATTCTCTGTGAGCAATGTGTCTGGCAACCTAGAACTCACACCTGCCTTGAGCTGTATACCTGCTTTAAACAGTGGAAACAACTTAGTCTGCTTAGCAACACCCTTTATAAGGCTCCTTTTCTATTCAAAAGCATCCTAGAACACAACCTGAGAACTGTGAGCAATGCCAGATTCAGCCTAGACTGGTTTTGAGTGTTTGTACAGTATGAAAAAATGTGTCAGGTGAACTTTGAGGGAAAATCCCCTATTTACTCTTTTGCACCTATGCATAATTGGACCTGTAGTAAAACCAGATCTTTGGGACGAAGAGGCAGGCAGATCCCAGTGAGTTTGAGGTCAGCCTGGTCTACAAAGTGAGTTCCAGGATAACCAAGACTGTTACGCAGAGAAACCCTGTCTCAAAAAAACAAAAGCAAACAAACAAAAAAAATTAAATGCATTGTGGGAAGGTGCCTGCAGAATGAGAAAAGGCTTATATAATCCAAAACTTTTCATCAAAGTAGAGAACTACCCATGCTACCCCTCTTAGCAACCGAACTCATTCTTCCTTTGGACTTTGTAAAAATAAATCTCAAACAAGAATCAGAACCCCTGAGCTTCACTCATGTGGCCCACCAGAAACCTTGAAAATGCATCCTTTCTAATCTGTACTACTTCTCCTGAGTAAAGTTTCCTTGCAATTCTGTGAGCCATGTGGGCTTTTGTTCCATTCCTGAACAATGAGCTAAGAACCTCCAAAGGAAGCCTAGTCCCAACTGCTGGCGACAACACCCCAGCTGGCTTATTAGCGTGTTCTCTCTATCCTTTACCTTTTTGGAAAGTGCACGGGCTTTCAGTGCTGCGATTTTCCAAAGGTGCCAAAAAGTCCCCCAGTAACTCAGACAGTGAAGACTTTTCCAAGTTTTCTAAGATGACGATTATTTTCTTCTTAATAGGGGACTGTTTCACTGGGATCAGACAAGCTGTGGTCAGAAACAATAAGAGAGGTTAGTACTTGTGCACAGCCTACACCAACTGGCCCAACATGCAAAACTAAGGCGACAAAGTATTCACGAAAAAAGTTGTGTGGTGGGCATACTCTGAAAATACATCTATCGGCAAGAACTCAGGCAACAATAAATAAATAAATATAAATTAGTCTATTTCCACACCGGAAATGACAACACTGAGACCATAGGAAGCTCTCACAGATAATACATTAAGCAAGTTACCAAGGAATATGTACAATATGATTCCATCTTATATAAAACATGAAAAAATGATAATATTTAATCTGTGAATTTATAAACAGGTAACCATAGAAACACATTAAGAGCTCGAGAGGGGCTCTACAGTCAAATGCTTGCCTGGTGAATGTGAGGCCGTTGATTCATCCCATAACACCTCCAAAAAACACTTAGAAATTATTATTACAAATGATAGAGTTGTGGCTGCAAGAAAGGTTTTCTGAGCAAGAGGAGGCATGTGGGTAGATTCTGGAAGCTGAAGACACTTAAATTCTTGACTTGCTCAGTGGTTAAATGGCAAATTTAGTTAAAAAACATTCTTTGATATGCATGTGGTATTTTATGTATGTTTCATAATATGAGAGGTTAAGAGCATTAAATGACCTTTAAATCACACAAGCATAAGATGCTCAAAGCATTAATAGACAAGGCATTGAGAAATGTAAGCACATCCTGGCCCTGAGAAGTGATTGGATTAAGTTTTCAGAAACAGCGAGGAAGGAGTCAAATCCAGTGTCCCCATTCTTACCATTCCTCCCACTCTGGGTGGGCAGAAATGACTGCATATCAACACAAACAAAAAGATGTGAGCTAAATGGGAAATTTCTACCAACAGTGAACAAATAAGCCAGTGTATAAAACATGCTCAATACAATGAATGCATGGCAACTACCAGGCACTCACTTGCCATTACTGCTTTAGTTAAAACATGAACATAGCAATTCCTATATGGCAATTAATAAGGAATTATTGTGTTAACTTCTTAGAAGACTGCAGAAGTTTCAGTCATAGTCAAATTAACCCTCAATGAAGAACAATCAATTAAAAGTACTCATGGAAAACTTGTATAGATACTCATGAGAGAAATGCCTGTATTTTCTTCTCATTGCTATAGATACATTGGATTTTCAATCTCAAAGGATGTCTTGAACAATGTAAGTGAACCTCTTCAGCTAACATCCTTAAAAACTAGGACAGAAATAAGAGCTATCTTTCAATTTCCTGGTACTAGGGGCGGGTCATTACACTATCGTCTGATGTGACCCTCTGTACAGCAATCTGGTAACAGTGAGAACTTACGCTTCTCTTAGTAAGCAAAGTCTCAGAAATACATGTATGTGACCAGCACAGGAGGCCCAGGCAGAGTTTGAAGCAAGCCAGAGGGCTGCACAGTGAGAGCCTTTCTTAGATAAATAAATATATAATACATGTACACATATACATGTATATAATATAGAAGTATAAGAAACTGTAATTGGGCTGGGTGGTGGTGGCCCATGCCTAATCCCAGCTCCTGGGCGGCAGAGGCAGGAGGATCTCTGTGAGTTTGAGGACAATCTGATCTACAGGGGAGAGCCCAGGATTCACAAAGAAACTCTGTCTCAAAAATCAAAAAGAAGAAGAAATTATAATTGGTTAAAATAGTGACAACAAATAAGCCTCTTCTATTTAGTGATAAAAACCAAAAACAGCACAACCTATCTATCCAGTGGTTTACATTTCTTTCCTGTAACTTAGGACTGAAGAAGTCCAGATTTTCTCTGATTTGTGTTAGGTATATGGCTAGGTCAAGTGGCTGTGCTAAGAAAACTGAACTGCATTTCAACAAATGTTTATCCAAGTGTTGCCTTGCTATGGGTGCTATGTGCCTAATGCTGCTTATGTCTTGGGGGAGGGGAAGAAGGAAGGCATTCCGGATGAGGGCTAGTGTAAGGAGTGGCGTTTTCCCAGATGCAAGAAGGCCATCTAAATTTAAGAAAGGGCAGACATAGAACTATGGAGGCTGGTTACCACTGGGTCCCAGAAGGGACCGGTGCGCTGCATCAACATTGGGAGGCTGTAAGAGAAAGTAGCTGGGTGGTGAATTCAGAGCTAATGGTGTCACTAATTCAATGGGCTAAAGCAGTCCTTCACCCCCATGCTGAGCAGCCACAGGGCAGCAGCTGTATCTCCATTTCATGCTCAGGGTAAAATCACCTGTGCTCCATCCCTTATATTATCTGTGATTTTGATGATTAGACATGTACTCAGCACTGGCACTTCCTAAAAATTCCCTGCCAGGGTGCAGATCTGCTGCACTGCCCACCAGGGACAGAAATGAGACACGGAAGGCAGAGACTGTGAGGAAATCCATCCCCACTGCTGATGAAGAATGGAAATTTCTAAGAATGGGGATAATGAAATGCTTCATATGGGAGTAAAGAGGATTTTACTCCTGCTCTCAGGTCTCATTCAGAGTAAGGAGATTTGCAGGAAAAAAATGAAGAGAAAAGAAACAGGAGGTCTCACTGCTTTGCTGCAGTCAAGAGGTGAGGGGGGCCTCTACCAAGGTCCCCAAAAGGAGACTGGCATCATGAGACAAACAGTAAGTCTACATGCCACCTGCAGAGATGGGGCAGAGGGAAAAAAAAACAGCCAAAGGTAACCTTGAACTTCCCACTAAAGAAGAGGCTGCAAAGTTAATGGAAGCAGTGAGCATGTGACCACCCTGTGATGATGGTGTGTAAGGCCTGATGCTTCCCGAACGGGGGGATCAGAGTCGTGTAAGGGAGATAAAGAGGGGATAAGGAGGTGGGATTCCACTGATGATAAGATGAACTGAACTGATGGATGAGCAAGACCACAGGACGACTCATGGGAGCAGATGGGCTCATTTTCTCGATCCACTGGAAGAGATTGCATTTTGATTTAGTTTACAGCAGACTCTGAGTGTTGCTGTCCATAGGTGTCTTCCTCATCTGTGCTCATCTTGGTTTGTCATGAGGTACCAATGAAGGGAGTGTGGATATCATTGGTGAAAAGTCTCTTTATCACTGCTGGCCTGACAGCCTCCATCTTTCTTTCAGTATCACTCACTGTTCTCTGCGACCACGTTCCTTAGTCCAGTGTGTGCAAAGGTTAAGTTGGTCTCTTGGAGAGACAGCGTGTGTCTAGTTCAGGTTATCTGGAGCAGTATCATATCTAAATGTTAATAAATCACAGAAGTGAGTGAAAACTCATCACCAAATTTTGAGTTTTTCCAGTGAGGCAGATTTCTGGACATATGAATGAAAGCCACTCACCCATTTTATTTCTGTCTGTGGACTCCTTTTATCCTGTAGCTTGAAACTCGACCCTATGAGACCCCTTCGCTCTATGCTACTTCAAAGCTCATTTCTGAAACTATTCTTTATTTCTTCCAAATGCAGAGTGCACTGGCCTTGTTCCTCTCCTGCAGAGATTGGCAATCTTAATTGGACACCGGGTTTAGATATAAATCTCCGCTCTGGATAGCCTTCATTTAAAATCCTACATGGTTGATTCAACAGCAACAATCCTTGGTCTGAAAATAGTTAACATACCACAATTGAAACTCAACCCCAAGTTTATAATCACCCCTTTGGGGACTGAAAAGAATCCCGTATTAACTGCCTAACTGTCTATAGGGGCAATGCTCTGGACGTGACAAAATGGTGACTTCAGGGAAGGCATTCAAAAAGTCTTCAGTGACGCAGGGCCCAACGAGGTAAATTCATTTATGGAGACTCTCATTAGCATATTCATCTATCATTACTACATTAATTTTTTATTTCTAAACTGGAAAGTTCTCCAGGGAATTAAAAGTGTTATTTGAAAATATTGATCTAGTGTTTCAATTTTTCTTTTTTTCTCCACATTGTGTCACATGTAATTTAAAATACCATCTGTCTCGATGATCCAGCTTCATACCTTGTATTGCAGAGGAACTTGAGCCAATTGCAATGTGTATTCAAACCCTCCTAGCCAAACAAGAGTCCTGTAGTGTGACTCTCCCAAACGGTAAAATGAGAAGGAAAAGGTCATCTTGAACCACACGAATACAAAGTGATTTATGCTACTCTACAATTCCCTCCATGCTTCCTGGAGTTCTTTGTTCTTACTCCTTTTTTCAATGACTCCATTTTATTCTCCATGTAAGCTTTGGATTCTTAAAGCCCAGTGTAGTCAGCTTCTGTCCCTCTTCCTTAATGTGCCGTTTTGCTCTTTTATTCGTTCTCTGTGGCTCTCTTCACATCTTTGCCCCCTCAGACGTGTAGACAAGAACAACCAGTGTGCATTGCTTGGTGGAAGACAGCTAAAAGTCACCATTCCAATGCTGGTCAAAGCCAAGGGACAGGTTACGACCCATTAACACCCAGAACGCCTGTGTGGAATCAGCGTGCCCCTCCATACTGCCATCTGCTCATAACCACTTCATTGTAAGAAGACAATAGTTCAGTTGACAGCCTTAGACCTCATTATTCTGAAAGCTACAGTACAACAAGGCTAGGGAGCCTTTTTGACTGCAGGGATCTGCCCTCCCTTCCCCTGAGGCTCTCTATCACCTCTTCACCAAAGGATGGTTCCCGACTATCTCCTTCTGCATGAAGAAAGCAGATACCCACAGACCCACGTTGTCCCTTCGTTGGGGCTCAGTGGACATGCCTTGCAGTGCTCACAAGCCATGGTATCCTCTGAGGTACTATCCATACCAGCTCTTTACTGGCTACTAGTCAAAAATCAGTGGGTCCTACTGAAAGGATGAGATGGGGAAGAGAATTGAGGCATCTAAAGTAGTAGGCCCAAGACGACAAGGTAGACCACCATGTTCTTGCCATAGCATTCTAAGAACTTCTGGAGCCTTCAGAGTGTAACACCAGGGACACCTTGTGAAATCTTTTGTCTCCTAGAGTGATCCTTCAAGAATCACTGAGGAGGACTGGCTAAAGAAGCAACAGCAGGGAAAATAAGGAGGGTTGATGGGGCCTCAGAGCCACTTGAACAAGAGATGATGGAGAAGAGAGGAGCACGTATAGAGCAGCAGCAGCAGCAGCAGCAGGGAGCAGATTCAGCAGAACTTAGAGCCACTGAGGGAACCAAAGCGCTCAGGCTGCTGACAGGTCTCTAGTCAAGGGCAGCACACAAACGCTATTAAAAACTGAAGGAAACGGTTGATCCTTATAAATCACTAAGCCAAATACAGATTTCCTTCTGTATTTAGCAATGACACAACCTTTCCTACTTTTTCCTCTTTGAATTAAGAGTGCAGATTTCTCTCTCTCCTTATTGATTTACTCAAGTATATTGTTCAAAGTCTTCACCTTGGCCCGTGGCAGAGCTCTTACCTAGCAGTACAAGGCACTAGGTTTGATCCCAAATGCTACAAAACAAACAAAAACCTCTAAGCACTGCACTTTCCAAAGTCAAGTTACTCTCTCTCTAGTGGCTTATCACTTCCTCTCCAATCTGGTCTTAGATCTACCTCTATTCAAGCAAATACTCCTGAATAGGAAAACCAATTACTTTCTATACTTCCTTTTTTTCTTACCAGTGCTACATCCTGCAAGAGGATATCTATTCAGTCAATCAAGTAAATAAAAGAGTAGAAGCAGCAGGGTGGTGGTCATGTACATCACTAGTCCCAGTACTCTAGAGATAGAGGCAGGTGGATCTCTGAGATTGAGGCCAGCATGGTTTACAAGAGTGAGTTTTGGGGAAGCAAGTACTACCCAGGGAAGCCATGTTTTAGGAAAATAAACAGAGAAAGAAAGAAAAAGAAAAAAGAATAGAATCCACAGAAGTAGCTTCCAAGATGCTCATGAACTGTCATGGAATGGCACTCAAGGCCTAAGTCTCCAGAATTCTCCTACTGCTTACTCTATAGTTAAGCGAGACCTCGAGCTAAAAATAAACTCTGTGGATGTTTCCTACCAGAGCATCTCACCTTAGAAAGGTCAGAGAAGCCCTCCAGGGGGGGCTGAGTGTTAAGACAAGGGGCCCCCTCCATGTTCCAAGCTTAGAGAGTTCTAGAATGTAAGAAACCGTCAGGCATCAGCTCTTCAGTGCTGGGCTGGTCCCCTTTGGGCCCTCCATGCCTTACTTCACCGCTTCCCAGCTTTCATAGGCGTCGACATTTACAGCAGAGTTCAGTCTGTACTTGACCATCTAGCAGAGTTCAGTCTGTACTTGACCATCTACCCCGACAGGTCAAGAATACCACTTTTTACATTCTTAACCTTGAGATGGCACGACCCTGAAAGCTGAAGAATTATAGGGGGCCTTTGTTACATCATGAAGAGAAAAATAACCACTAAGCACAGGGACATTTTCAAGAGCCATGGTTGAGACTGGTGGAGGCCCAGCTCCTGACAGACTGCTTGGGCAGGAGTGAGTCCTAGTCTATGTTCTTGTTGTGGTATTCCTGGGTAGAACCTGCAACATTACCTCAGGTGCTTTCAAGATTATCAACGAGGGACACTGAATGGTCTGTCACAGAGCTGTCAGTTACAAAGACAGCTTAAGAATGGGGCATGCAAGAGAAGACACTAACAAATGTTATCTATGATTGAAACTGCATGAAAGAAAATAGTGTTCTGCATCTATTTCCTGGCTTCTGGTCAAAGACTAGCCCGTGCAGCAGCCAGACACTAAGATTCTAGGAGATTTTTCTACTTCCAAAGGGTACTTCAAGGCTCAAAGAATCCTCAATTGTTCTCCAAACTTAATTTACATTTATTTATGACTTAAAAATCGAAGGTGATTGAAGCAGAAGCAGAGATCCACAGCTAAGTACTGAGCTGCACTCCTGAAGTCCAGTTGTAGAGAGGGAGGAGTGATGAGCAAGGGGGTCAAGATCATGCTGGGGAAACCCACAGAAACAGCTGACCTGAGCAAGTGGGAGTTCACTGACCCAAGACTGACTGGTGGGGAACCAGCATAAGACTCAACTAGGCCCTCTAAACATGGGTGTCAATTGGGGGACTTGGGCAGTCTATGGGGCCTCTGGCAATGGAACTAGTATTTATCCTTAGTGCATGAGCTGGCTTTTGGAGCCAATTTCCTATGGAGAGTTACCTTGCTCAGCCTAGGCACTGGGAGGAGGGCCTCACTCCTGTCCCAAATGATGTGACAGACTTGAATGATTCTCCATGTGAGGCCTCACCCTCTCTGAGGAGTGGATGGGGGATAGGATGGGAGGTAAAGGGAACTAGGATTGGTATGTAAAGTAAGATTGTTTTTAATTTAAAAACTTTATAATAAAAAAGAAGGTGATTTTTATGTCCTAGACTAAGTTAGTCTATAACTGAGCCTGGAGTCACAAGGTAAACTCATCACAGCTCCAAAGACAAGGTATACCCCTCTCTATTCATAGGCAGTATGTCTCAACTCATCCTCTTTGAATCTATCTGTGGCTAGACCCTCTTGGCACTAAAGTTGAACCCCTTTCAGCTTTGTGTCACAGCTGTGCCATGCAGGGTTATGTCGATTGCATCTGTGGTGAAACTTAGGGTGTCAAGCTGTAAAAGGCCTCATGAGCAATTTATGTTTATAAATGTTTACATGTGGTTCTGCTACCCTATTTGTGGGAAGAGATCCAACAACAGCCACTTGCTGAGGACTGTAGTAGAGATCATATGAGCTAATGGGTGCATGGAACGCATTTGCCAAAATGCTAACCAATGGCACACTAATGGTCACCTGAAGACAGAAGTTTGCTCCAGGTACAGGAATAATGACAGCATCATTACAGGAAAGTGTGGATGGCAAAATTTACTACACATCAATCTGTTTACCTTTATCACCATGCAGTAGCAATTCTAGGCATGTCAAAAATGCAATATGTAGTCCTACTAAGAAGAGCTGCTTCTATTACCTCTTCTCTTGCTATCCTACTGTGGACAGTCAAATTGTATGCCAGAACAATGAGTGGTTCACAAAAAAAAAAGAAAAGAAAACTCAAGATGACCAAATAACACAGTGGCATTGACAGAACTGTTGTTTAAGTGTTTACTTAGACTTCCAATTTTCAGTTTCATCAATGGGAAGAAAAGCTACATAGCTATAAAGATTTCCCTGGAATGGCCTCAGTGAAGAACACGCCTTTGAGTTATCAAAAGCCGGTTCTCTGACAGGTCTTACCGCTACTGATGAACATGTCTACTAGCTGCTCCTTGGAGAAACCTGTATCCACCTCAGCTCTCACTATTTCGCAGGGGAATCCTGCAGCCATCTGTCTGTGCTGTGATAACAAAACAGGGACATTAGCTTTACCGTCTTCCCAGTTTTCAAGTCAAATGAAAATGCTGTGAAAATACACAATACCTTCATGCAGAGGGCAAGCTGGTGTGCTATATAGTCTTGCAAGCTTCCATCTGGGCCATGGAAAATGACATTATGGTATTGCTCAACCTGTGCAAACCAAGAACAAGCCTGGGTGAAGATGCTAGTTTGACGAGGGAAAGGTGGTGTCGAAGGACAGAATTCCCAATTATCCTCGGGAACCCGAAAGAATAAAGCTATTTGAGATTAGCAGCATTTACTAGACATGTGAAGTCTTCAGAAACTTGAACTATGCCTCCCCTCCCCCAGGAAACTGGGGTATGTTTAACAGAGGCTAAGGAAGATGTTTAGGATAGAGGGATGTACAAGGGTTTCCCGTCAGCTGTTACACTATGAGCTAGAGGGTCATTCTTTAGGGGGTCCATTGAGGGTAAGCTTGGGACTGTGTGTCAGGGTATGAAAGACAATGTTTCTGAGAGTCATGAGTGAATTTTCTCAGAAGTTAAATACTATTCTGTTATTGGTAAGCCTTCAGTAAGAACTCACTAATGCCTACATAAGGTACAATAATGGCTATAGCTGCTGAGGGAAGGTGAGGATCTAAAAACCACAGGATGAACATAGCAGTGGCAAGGCTGATTTCCATGGTACTGGTGGCCAATCAAGCCAACGGCAGATGTGCAGGCAAAGACCAAGACTGAAGCAGAGACTTCTCCAGAAACACAAGAGAATATGCTGGAAAGTACGGGTGAGGTTCATTTTTCAGACTGAGGTGTTACAGTGTCATAAGAATCCTGTGAAAAGCTATAATCAAAGAATATTACTGAGGTATAATTGTTCTGACTTGCATTATGAATAGGAATCCTGAAGAATATATGGGATTATATTTAGAATGGTGATAAGATTTGCTTAGTTATGACTCTCTTTTCCTCAGTCTTAAATAGAATCTATGCCATTTGAACCTTTTTATTTTTTGGCTGGCTTAGGAAAATTTTCTTCCATTATGTTTTTGGTAATATCTACTGGTTTTCTATATTCCTAAGGAAAACCTACAACACTTGTCTCTGTTGTTTGTGAGGAAATCTGCCATCATGTCCCGTCACATACCTCTAACCTTTTGGTTGACATATTGAGAGCGCTCCTTGAGTTAGTCTCTATAACACTGTATATTCACTATCTCAGTCTCGCTCTTTGCTGGCTTGAGCACAGCCTTACTACACAACAGCATTTCTCTCACTTGTCCAGTCCCTTACTCCTTTCCAACACTCTTCTTTTTCATCCTACGTCAGATTTCACTGCAGCTTTCTTGAGCCGATTTCACAGTTTGATTCTCTTTGCATTCTAGAGAACTGGCCATATTTTTGGACTGATTTTTCTGTTGCTACGATCTTGTACTCTCATATTCCTATGTAGAAATGCTAACTGGACCGAAGGTGATAGAATTAGGAAGGGGTGCCTTTAAGAGGTGGGCTAGTTAATTTTTATGTCAATTTGACACAAGCTAGAGTCATCTGAGGGGAGGAAACTTCAATTGAGAAAATGCCTCCTATAGGCAACCCTATAGGGCATTTTCTTAATAATTGAATAATTGTGGGTGGTACTATCCCTGGGCTGGTTGTCTTGGGTTTTATAAGAAAGCAGAGTGAAAAAGCCATAATGAACAAGCCAGTAAGCAGCATTCTTCCATGGCCTCTGCATCAACACCTGGCTCTAGGTTCCTGCCCTGTGTTAGGTTTTCCCCTGACTTCTTTCAGTGATGAACAGGGTCATGAAGTGTAAGCAAAATAAACCCTATCCTCCTAAATTTGTTTCAGTCATGACTTCATCAGAGCAATAGTCACCCTGACTAAGACGAGAGGTATCAGTGCTGTTGTGAAAGCAGCAAAGCAAACCCCCTGCCCCTTCTGCCATATTAGGACACAGTAAGAAGACACTATCAGGGACCAGGAAACAGACTCTCACCCACTGTATCTGCTGGTGTCCTAGTCTTGAACATTCTGGCCTCCAGAGTGTGACTATCAACCTCTATTTTAAGTCACCAAGTCTATGACATTTGTCAAAGCAGCATATCCCGAATGATAGCCTCCTAATACAGATATAGCATTAACATTTTAGTGTTGTCTGAATGCTGTAAAACCACGGGGAAAATTGTTACAATAAGGCAAGAAGTGGGCACCACTACTGGCTTCACTTTCCTAGCTGAAGCCCCTTAAATAACTGGGTGGATGACAATCTTGTAGCTCTAAGTCACTGATTAAACTATAGGAAGCAACAAGGGTGGCAGGATCTGCTGCCTAACAAGACAGACACGCACATGAGGACCAACCGCAGCCCGTGCTATACATCTCCAGCTCAACAAAAGTGCTCCCGAGTGGCACACCTCTCAGGACTCAGCACAGTCTCACCAATCTTCATCAACATGTTCTTCAGGTGTCTCCACGTTTTCTAATTGCTATGAAAGGATTCACACTGCATCATGTATCAAAGGCTGAGACTAACTGCTCAGTTTTTCACTGGTGCCAATCTTGTAGTTTTATATCACTGGGAGCATGGCAAGGAAGGGATGACAGTTTTTCCTGATTTCAGGGATGCGTCAAATAGCAAGGCTAATACTCTAAAGGCAGTAAGGAAGTCTCAGGTGCGTGTTAATGACATATTGTGCAATATTTATGTAAAGATGTGTTACATTTGTTTATGCTGCAGAGAATTACTTTAGCTGTGAAATCGTGTGTTAGGCTTTACACATAAAGGTTTTTGTTTATGCTGCATTTGTTTAATTATGTTAAGATGTGTTGTATTTGCTCCTCCTTACCTACTTAAGGTACTTGATTGGTCTAAAGGCTAAAACCAAACCAAACAAACAAACAAAAAATAAGAGAAAAGCTGAGAAGAGGGAGAAGAAAGGCTTGCCCGGGGCCAGAAGCCAGGTAACCTACTAGTCAGACTGACAAGAGAAACAGTGAAAGTAAGATGCACAGAAATCAAGAAAAGTACAAAGGCAGATAAAGAGAAACAGGTTAATTTAAGTTAAAACGGTTAGCCAAAACAAGCCTAATCTAAGCTGAACATTCATAACTAATAAGAAGTCTCTATGTCATGATTTGGGAACTGGTTGGTCCAGAAGAAAGAGAAAGCCTGGTATAATAGACATCAGCTCTGTTTTTGTGATGTTTTGTCACTTTTCAAAAAGCACCTTGGTGAAAAACTGTGGACTAGATATTGCTAGCCAGGTGCAATTCTAAACCAGATTTCTCCAGCTCTCCAAATTAATCCCAAACTGCAATGCATTGCTGAACAGCAATTCGTTCACAAAGAATGGATTGTTTCCCACAATTGAAATGGGATACAGATTTCTAGGATTTGCTGAACATTCTATCCCTGAGATTTTCAACTGGCCTTGCAATTTAATCTTGTTTTAACTTCTGAAAACAAGAATGCTCTATTCATTACAACTCTCCCATCAAGCTGTCTACATTTCCTGAAGGCGGATTCTGAAATCATATAACAGCAAAAGATCCAGCTTCAGAGATAAGCTATCTTCAACATCAGCACCTCATCTGTTCTCACACATTCATTTCTAGGGAGCAACGGGACAGGAAACACTTTAAAACATACTGAATGTGCCTTTTACTTGCAACGAACTCCTATGTTTAACCTTGATAACATCCCCCTTGAAGCACAACAGAATATAAACAAACACGTTTACTGTGTAGGTAAAGAGAAAACACACACACACAATTCCCAAGTGTCAGTATTTTAACACACACACTCCAGTGATAATCTCGTCTCATTTCAGGTTTTATCAGTTCTTTTGCTGATTCTTTTCTTTGATCCAATGATGTATAGGTAGATTATCATTTACAATCTTAACCAGAAATCAATTACTGAAGCAAACTATAGCAAGACAGTTGAGACTGCTATACATATGAGAAGCTTGATCAAAGGAAAAAAACTATTCATCCATTTTAATTACCATATCTAGTTTCTCCAAATGTCAATCTCTGAGGTATAATGGAAGTCATGTCTCATGCTCCCTGTTTCCAGCAGAGGGCTCTGCAGCTAGGAAGACTGAGAGTAAGCTAATACTGCTTTGGATGGGACTGGTGGGAGAAAGGTTTTTGTGCTGACAGGAAATCTGTTTGAAAATGCAATAAAATTCAACTTGTAAAATTATAGCCTGAGCCACAGTCACTAGAAGTATTCTGATACAGTGTGACACTTTTGCTTATTAGTAAAGGGACACTGGCCTCATTGTAACAATTGCTAGTTAACCCATTTTATTCTTGTTTTATCTTCATATCCTGTTGGAGTAGCACTTAACACGTCAGTCAGTCAGGGCTCTGTTTCAGTGAGGCACATTGATTCTAGAAACAAGCAATCTCCGCAATGGTTCATCCATTCTGTCATTTTTCCTCCCTGTACAATGTTTTTCCACAGAATGGAGGTTAATTCAAGAGCTGTGGTCTCTATTACTGTCTCTGTGGTAACTGAGATGTGTCTTCAGATTTGTGGTATTTTAAAGCAATAAAACCACAACTTTTGTTCGGTGTTCCACTTGTTATACTTATTCAGAGTCAGAATTGCTGCCCAGTGGCAGTTTCAGGCCAGCTATGTTGAGACATTAAACACACAAAAAAGAAGAGGAGAATAAAAGGACTTTACTGTGCCAATAAAATTGGGATAGCTGTCACTTAAAGTTACCTGTTTTACAGCTAGAAATTTCAGTTTGACCTTTCCTGACACACAACTTCTAAGGCATTATTTACTGCTTTACAGGCACAAATGGCTGTTACTGTCAACTTAGTCACATAAATGTCCCCTGAACTTCTACCACAGGCATCAGAAGTCACTCTCAGGTATGTGGTGCGCAGATTTGAAACAGTAGGCATGCAATGATACATTATTTGATGAAAAAGTTTAAAAACTAGTGATAATAATTGGTAAGAATTGAAATGTGAGAAGACCTACCAAAGGGGTTAGAATGTATGGAATGATCTAGAAGTCTGTACAACTGGCATTTGGGATATTAAAGAGAAAAACAAAGTTGAATTTCTTTGTGTTTTATGACCATTTGCTGCTGTCCCATTTTATAGAATAGATACAAAGATGTAAAAGGAACACAAGAGAAATTATAGTTTATATATGCAAAGTATATATATATATATATATTTACTATGTATGTATGTATGCATTTACTGAAACTACAAAAACCAGTATTATATTTGGTCAGAAAGATCAAATAAAAATTGGCCTTCCGTTTTTGTGTTTTGTTTTTTTGCGGTTTTGAAAGAGGGCCTCACTTTTGTACCAAGGCTGCCCTTGAATTTACAGCAATCTGCTTGCAAAGCTGTACTCTCCTATCATCTCCCTGGGGTGTTTATCTATTTGATGGATTGAAGTATGCTGGCTAGTTTTATGACAATGTAACACAAGCTAGAGTAGTCATTTGAGAGGAGGGAACCTCAATTAAGAAAATGTTCCCATGATAAGAGAGGTTTGTAGGCAAGTCTGTAGGACATTTTCTTAATTAGTGATTCTTGGGGAAGGGCCCAGCCTATTGTGGGTGGGGCCATTCCTGGGCTGATATCTGGGGTTCTAAAGGAAAGCAGGCTGAGCAAGCCAGTCAGCAGCATCCTCCATGGCCTCTGCACGGCTCCTACGTTCAGGTTTCTGCTTTTGATGATGAACTGTTATATGAAACTGTGAGCAAAATAAACCCTTTCCTCCCTAAACTGTTCCTGGTCACAGTTTTCATCACAGTAACAGTAGCCCTAAACTTGTCAGAGTTTTAGATGAAACCAACCGGCCTTGGTCAAAACTGTGCTTAATATAGAGATGTTGGAAGGGGGGAAGGAAGTGGCTATACTCATAGCCTGAGACTCATATTCCTAACATCAGGGGTCTACACCCTCATCTTTCTTTTAAGAAAAGGAATAAGCTGGAGTTCTTCCTCTTGGGTATACTTCATGCTTTTTTTGGGGGGGGGAGGGAAACAAAAGCAGAGAGAGAAAAATAAGTGTCCCCCGACAGGAGTGTTTAAACCTGCTGGTACAAGGTAGGTCCAGACTCTGAGGCCAGCTTTATTAGTGTACGGCTTTTCAAAAGCAGACTTACATCCGATGGAAACAATTAGTATAAAGAGTACAGTGAGACTATTTTTAAGTAGTGGAGCTTTTGTTACAGTCTTATGCTATTCATATTCGTTTTAGTAGACCTCACTCAGACACAGGGTACCTCAGGCATCCATAATTTGGGTTCTGTCATTGACTGCATGTATTGCTTTGATCATAAGATCTGTTTAACCTCTCTTTGTCATACTCCTTTAAAAGAGAGGTAACATTATCAATCTTGTAGGGATATTATGAATAAATAAGTAAAAACATTTGGCGTACTACCTATATCTGTGAAGTATGTAATAGATGCAACATGCTTGTCTGTTTTCCTTGATGATCATATTGCCCTTCCTCCTGTTAGTAACACACTGCCTACTTGTGGCAGGGAACAAGATTACACACAACAGGACACATTTGCCAGCTTAATAAGTCATGACCTAAAATTCTGGTAACCTGAGGACACGAAGCTTGAACCCTGGAGCTGTTATCTTGAATGTTCTGCCTCCCTAGGCCTCTCACCTGTGTGGCAAGTTAGTTATGTGAAAAAAAAATTAAACTTCAGTCTTGTCTGAAACCAGTCTAGTCTGGAAACCAATTGTTTGGTTTCCAGAAAAGAGGTAAAATCAATATTCTTACTGATGTGAACTTATTTATTCAATGTTAAATTATAAAAGCTCACAGTAAGCCATCTTGATATACGTGTTTACTCCTTTCTATGTCTATGGTTGGTGGCACATCCTCGTTAAGGGGTATGTAATATGTGTAATATGTTCCCACCCAAGTTAGTAATCATTCATAGTCTCTCTGGGTCAGAGAAATGGACACCTGTATCATAGTGGCAGTTATGGACAGCCTACTGGGGAAAACAACACCATAACCCAGAATGCAGGGTGGGCGGGTCCACATGGACCACCTGATGGATGCTGCAATAGTGATGATGGCAGTGCCAACCTACCAGTCTGAGGTAGTTCTGCAGCATCTGGAGTGGGATCATGGATGCATAAGTCACACTACTGAGACAGCCTTCTTGAGGACCTGTGAGAAATATACACAGAGAAGGGAAATTCGCCTTTCCTTGTCAAATAGGAAGATAAACATATCACACAAGCTACCGTGACAGAAACAGGACACTTGTGGACTTATAGGAGCTGACATTTGGTCAAGAAGCATCAGAGTGACTTTGATACCTGTTAACTGGTTACTAAACAGCTAGTGCTCCTGGAAGCCTGAAAGCTCCTCAGTTGATTCTTGTCTCTCCCAAGAAAGCCCACTGACCATTTTAGCAATTATAGCCAGGACTTCGAGAGTCCAGGTGCAATCCAGGAGCTGTGCCTGCTGGCTCCTGGGTTGTGTGTTTCACTGCTTATTAACAATAGTTGTCACAGATAGCCAGTCTTTGGAAATCTTCAGCCTTGCCTAATATTAATGTACAAGGCCAGGGTCTCCCTTTAGGTTTTGTTCCCATGCCAGCTTCTGCCACTCTCTCAACACACTGGGTGAATGGAAATAAGTTTTTTAGAGTGGACACGCGACTCTTAAAAATTGTCATAAATATAACTCATACAACAACACTTTAAGTCAACACTTATTGTTTGAAAGTTCATCCTACATGTGGAAAATACGTGAAGAAATCAGCAGCCTTTTAGAATCCAGGGCTGAGAAACAGTAAATACACTACATACCAATAACGAGAAGTCATATAAGAAAATCAGTCTGACTATGGACTCCCCCATGGAGGGCCTCACCCTCCCTGGGGAAATGAGGGGATAATGGGGGGGTTTGGGGGAGGGCACGGGAGGAGAGGCGGGAAAGGGAGAGGGACCTGGAACTGACTTGTGAAGCAACCTTGTTTCTTATCTAAATTTAAACTGAAAAATAAAAAAATAATAAAAAAATAAAATACCAAAAAAAAAAAAAAAGAAAATCAGTCTGAGACTTAGTACTGTATATAAATTAGAAGTAAGCAGAAATGCCACTTAGTGGACTGCTAGGACCATTAGTGACATTATACCTGTAACATGTCATAAATACAAACACAGCTTAAGAATAGTAGATACTTTCTCAATATTAATGTATACCATTATAATACTCAGACCAGACATACACCATAGTTGATGGTAACAACAGACATTTCTCTTTTTTAACCTAGTCTGTCACTCCTAGCCGCATGCCAGTTTGCCTGTAGGCTGTTTCTAATGAGGGACACAATGAGAGCAGCAGGAATCTACGAGCTGGGCAGACATAACTGAGGGTGACAGAAACATGACTTCTAAGTCCCCCCTTCCCTTATGCAGAGACTGCTAGAAGCAAGAGGACAGCATCACCGAGGACTGGAAACCGGCCTCCCGAGAGGACAGCATCACTGAGGACTGGAAACCAGCCTCCCGAGAGCCAGTTGGGAGGCCCACACTCCTTAAGCATCACCCTGGTGTGCAATCTCATTTATTACCTGACAAAAGCACGGTGACCTGATCTACCTTCTTCTTCTTCATGAAGTCCCACGGGGACTGGGGGAAGCTCTGGCCAGCTGACCATGGCATAGTTCCTAGTTGAATAAAGGGAAATAGAATGTCAAGGAGAGCCCAGATGATGCTTTCATAAGGGCAAATACATTCTCCTCTGTGAGATGCTAAAGAATCTAGTGCTTCTGAGGTCAAAGGTGATCCAAAGGGCAATTAACTCCCCAAGGACATTTTTGTTGAAGGCCAAAGGGAAAGATGTTAACTCTATAGACTTCTCAAAAAAAAAAACAATATTTCATGGAAAATCTGAAGAACAAAAATATATCCAGATTATTTCCAAGGTTAAGTTCTCAAAAACCTCATATCCTAAACCTACCTCTTGCTTCGCTAAGTCCCAACACTTTGGAGAACATCTGACTTGTCACCATCTGGTCTCCAGAGAATGTGACCCAGTCACTTTCCAGCAAAATTTCCAGAACTGTTTTGGAAGTTTCAAAGTCTCAGACAATTTATTTCAGATTCTCTACCTCAGCGTGACCCCAACAGTTGTACTGACTTGTCTCCTAACCCCTGCATCTCAGTTGACCTGAAGTTCCTTGAATCATGGACTCTGAAAATTCACATGTCAACATTAAAAATAATATCATACCCTCAATTATTAACTGGCTAAGAAAGGCACTAATCTAAGCCCTTTGGCCACAGAACTTGATGACTTTTAGACTAAAAGTCTGCTTGGGTATACTACAGCTATGATAAGGGTGAATCTTCAGCCCCCTGGTATCCACTGTTCAGAGGCACGCTCATTGGCTGTTGGGAGTATCCATTCACTGCCACCAGGTTCCAGATTAGCTGGAGACAGCAGGTACAGGGCTACTTCTTTCAGAACGCCTCTTTCTTGTCTTCATCTACAAGACTTGAGCACAGACTCAGGATCTGCACAACACTGTACTAGGTGGGCGAAATGTGTCCCTGACAATCGCTCATGCTTACTTTCTTCATTCAGTTTTTAAATTTTATAATGATGGCTCCATAACAACATTTTAACTATCATGCCAAAGTTGTCATAAATAACTTTCTCTCAAGCTAGTGGGAATATATTTTAATGTAAACCTACATTTATGAGCAAGCTTCAAAAATAACACCATGTTTTAAATGAATACATAAAAGCAACAGTAAAAATATGCCCTTCCTTCACCTTGACCATTCTTTTTAAACGTGGTACTGTTGGATGTGTGTTTGTTCCCCTCAGAGAGCCTGCGATCTGAATTCTGGCTGCTTTGCTCATTAGTCTTGTACCTTTGGGCAAGTCCTCTCATACCTAGTGAGTTGTACAGTGTGGACTTTGGTGTGGACTCTTCATAAAGTACTGAGCACAAATCTTGCAAGAGAGGATTTCTCACAGATGTTAATTTGGATCTAAGAAGAAAGAAGCCAGCCAGAGGCAGGAAATATTTGTGAGCACTAACTGTGCACACCAGACAACCGACCTCATCTCTTTACGTTCTTTGATCTGTCAAGAAGGAATAACTAGTTAACACTCTGACCCATCCCATGTGGGAGCTTTGAAAATATCTTCATTAAAAGATCTTTCAGTTCTAGACTGCACTGGACCCCCGTCATGTGGTAAGGCATTAATATAGCATAACACATCTGCCACAGTCTGAGAACAAATCTGGAGTTATGTTCAGAAACTATTCAAAAGCAAGCATCTGTAGTGTGCTTAGTTTCTTGCATTTACCTCAAACACAAGGGTAATAACAAGACCTCATCAAAGGCTTTCAAGTTATTTACTCTCTAACATTACTTGAGGCATAAAAGCATTTTTATATCAACAGGCTACATTATGTAATGGCTCACTGTAGGCTCAAGGCTTCCAGTACTGGCAGCTGCCACAAGTCAAGCCTTGAATGTATTTCATCAGTGAACTATCAGGCTATGAAGCCCACAAGCATAAATAAACCCAGACGTTTAACTTTCTTTTCACTTCAAGGCTGCTTATACCTAGCATGATGGATTGTATATTGCTGGTGCCGAGACCGATGCAGGAGTCGGTAACGTTATTAAATGTCCCATCTTCCAGACTCCACCATCCATCAGAAGAGATGGCTTGGAAATGATTTGTCAGAGCTTGACTCACTGCTTTTGAAAAATCATCCCATGATGTCTGTTTGCGGATATTTAAAACACATATTGTGTGTTCACATTCAAAGTCGTCGGAACAATTGTTGCTTGGTGGAATTTCACCCACGGAAATCCTTAAGGGTATTTTAAGAGCATCTATTAGAAGAACAAAGAGATAGAAGTTTAGAAACAGCCTTGGTAGAAAAATAAACAAGCCAGCTATTAAATCAAATAAGCAGATATGAAGGTTTTAAAGGTAAATCAAAGGATAGCAGCTATCTTAGTCAACATTAAACTGAGCCTTCTTGTACTGGAGCAAATGCTGGTTTCCCAGACTCACCACAGTTTCTTTGGGAGCATACAGGGTGAACTATTTATCATTTCTTGTATCTCAGCCTTTTCTAATTTGTTGATTTTTTTTCTCTTCAGAAAGAGTCTCAGGCTGTTTAAAAAAAAAAAAACGTAGGGAAGACCAGAGACCTTTCATTGAAAGTTCTCTAATTTTCCTTATCTTCATGAACAAGTTAGGGTACAGCTCCAAAGGTTAGTATGGCTAGAAGAGTTCCCTAAGAGCTACACAGACCTGGGTCTGAGCCTCAGAGTCAGCTTTCTCCTATATGTGAACTTGGTACATGATCCTGGTTCTTGCTGTCTCTCAATTTCTTCCACAAAAATGCTGAAATTATACAAAGAATCAGCATGGGGAGTAAATTAATTTTTTTAGTAAGGGATGTGATAAATTCAACCCGGTAGGTATTACATGACAAGTACTAGTGAGTGTTTGGTAAGGGTTCAGGGTTGCAGCAGGAACTCTGACTCAGTGCTCAGTTCTACTCTAGCCTCAACGGCAGAAGCTTCACATGACCTTCCTTCCAGTCTATATAATCCCAAATGCCTGGAGTTGGCACCCATGCACTTCTGTTCTCAAGAACTCAATTACATTTACTAGAAAATAACTAGTGTTTGTTCCTGAATCTTCTATAGCTGATAAAAAATGTTTACCTACTATGGGACAAATATAACAATTGTATAAAATTATATAAATGTAATAGTGTTTCCACAGACACTACTTTGAGTTCACTTCCTTAGTATGCTCAGCTGCTCAGGTAGTAAAGTCATAGAAGATATGGCAAAGCTGTATTTTGTTTTATTAGGAATTCATGCAATTCAACGAGCAGAAGCTTATTAAAGACTTTCTCACATGGTGAAAGAACTATGTAGCATGCTGGAGTAGTAAAATAAAATGCTTTTATGGAATGACCAAATACCCATGTCTATATGGTCAGTACTTACTAGATTCAGTGTGTTACCCCCCCCCAAAAGAGGAAATGAAGTTGGGAGGGGAACAGGAGAAAGGTTACCCAGCATGAGTCTGGAGTGGTGGTGAGTATGATCAGAATACATTGTAGGCATGTGTGAAACTCTCAATAAGAAATTAAAACTTATCTAACAAGAAAAAATGTAATTTTAATAACTAAAATATAAAATCAAATGTGTCATTTGAGGAAATGGCTTTTCCACTCATTTATCATTACTTTATTTTTCAGTTGTCAGCTGTGTGACCTTGTTACCAGCTTATTAATGTTACCATTTCTAACGTTAGTGGCCTCTGTTCCCTCCATGCCCCTCTGCCCTTCTCCCTTCAATATTCTTCCTCTGTCCCTGTGCTTTGTCAAGACTTTTTAATGACAGACTGTCTCAGAACTGTCTTCTGTTTTTAGTGTCATTCCTGCAGTGACCTCCACTCATTTCAGTCCGGTAACTTTAAATGAGTCTGACAGACTGCTGACTGCCAAACTTACATATCCAGTTCATACTTATCCCAAGAGAGAGTTCTGCTGACTTGACAGAGATATCTCAAATTCATGCATCCAAACAACTCCTGGCCTTTACTAGCTAAGCCTGCTTCACCCTTGATAGCCTTCCCTGAAATGGGTGGTGACAACTGCATCCTGGCAGATCCTGGCAGATCCTGGCAGATCTGAGCAACAGGCAGATCCCTGCGAATGAGTCTCGATTTCCCTCTTTTGTACTCTACATTTTGTTCATCATGGAGTTCTGCCCCTTCATTCTGTAACTTTGGGACCCATGTTCTTTCTCATGGGCCATCTGTTGTAATCCTCAATACGACCCACCATTTTTACCATTCTCCTGGAAGATTTATGTTTTCACAGCTGTCCTTGATTTTGTACATGACTTTTTCCAATCTATTCTCAACAAGGTAGCTGGTGAAAGCTAAAATTCACATCATCTGCTATTGTCTAGCTACACTAAGTCCTTATGATGAGTGTCTAGTTTCATTTCTGTTGCTGTCATAAGACAGGGGAGGAAGGTTTTTGTGGCTTACAATTCCATATTACAGTTCTTCATTTCTGCTAAGTCAAGGCAGGAGATTATACACTAATATTCACAGTCAAGAGCAAAAAGTAAAGAATAAATTCACAGATCCTTACTTGTTTTCTTCTTTGCTCTAGCTAGAGTTTTCTTTTCTTATATTGTGCAGGGCCTTCTATTTAGGGAATAATGATGCCTACAGTGGGCTGGGTCATCTTAGATCAATTAACAGTTAAGACAATCTCTCACAGGTATGCACATAGGTCAACTTGAGCTAGATAATTCCTCATATAGACTCTTTTCTGAAATTTGCTAGCTACAATCATGACCAAAATGAGAAGATAGGCTTATTGAGTACAAACAATAGAGGCAATGATTGATTTGAATGCACTAGTGAATTCAGTCACTGTGGTTGTCTAGGTAAGACCTTCACAAGAGCAAGCCAGACAATAGTCCATCATCTATGGAGGAAGGGTTTTATGGGCACTTACCTCTAGCTGAGGAGCTTTGGTATCAAATTACTTTGTGACATAAAGCCCACTCCACAGGAGAAAATACATGGTTGGTGCTGTAAATCTGACCAAGAATTCTTATGAAACTCATAGGCTCCAGGAGTGAACCTATTATTTTGCTAAATGGGCCTTGAAATTATTATCTCCATACTCACAAATTAGTGTGTATCTCAGACCACACTGGAGAATTTTCTTCTTGCGGAGGTCAGCACCAGTAAGTGCAGAACTCACTACTAGTCAAAGTTAAAAGAACGACTGTCTATTCAGTGCTTAGTCATAAATGGGGCATTTTCTGTCACACTCCTTTCCAGAACTATAGACTCAGGAAACATCATGGAATAAAGAAGTAAAATATAAGATCCAGAGGCCAAGGAGGACCAAGGCCAAACAGTCTTCTGGACATGACAGGATTACTGTACTCATGAATTCATAGTCACTGTGGTTGCTTAGGTAAGACCTGCATAAGAGCAAGCCAGTTAACAGTCTGTTGTCTATGGAGGAGGGGCTCATGGACACCTACCCCCTAGCTGAGGAGTTTTGGACAGTTGAAGATTGCTCAAGGAGGGAAAGTCAGTTTTCTTTAAGGATGAGGTTGGTCTTTGATAGGTCAAACATGGCCCAGTCACATGCCCATGCATATACAGGCAGCACAAATTGCAAATTACACCACCCAGGTTATTAAGTTGGGAGAAGGGTTTGGGAGTAGGGAGTGGATCTGGGATATATGTCTAACATAGCTCCGGTGGCTCACACCTATTGTCACTCTGGAGGTTGTGGCAGGAAGATCAATGAGTTTAAAGGCAGTCTGTTATACATACTGAGTTTCAGGTGATGAAATGCTACAGAGAGAAGTTCTGGAATGAAAGAAGAAAAGAAGGAAGGAAGAGCAGGAGGGATGGATGGAAGGAGGGACAGAGGAAGAGCAGAAAAGCCAGGGAGGGAATGGATTCATATTTGAGTGTATAATTAGAGGTTAAAGCATTATGTTAGGTGTTAAAATTTTGCTTATCCTATAGAGCATTTATTCAATGCGCATTATTCAATGTCATATCATTTTTTATGATCTTGCATGCTGTATTCATAAGCCTACAAGGGAACTTTCCATAAAATATACTTGGGAGTATGTACTTGTGGAGCTGGAGGGGACCCATGAGATCATCAATTAACTGCAAAGACTGGTAGGTAACCAAGTGTTAGGAGGCAACCCTCTTGCCAGGCCCACAGGACCAGCTGATGTAGAGCACACAGCTGGGATTTCCCCCCTGGCAGTCTAATGTCTCCAGAGAAAGGTAGGGGTGGGGTGGGGTGGGGTGGGGTGGGGGTAGGGGCAATCATTTAGATTGTTCTCTTGGGTTAGTCAGTAAAATCTAAGAAAGAGCAAACACTATTTGTATGGCAAAGGACTTCTGCAAACTCATTTTACTTGGGGAAAAGTGATGACATAATCAAAAGTATTTTTGCTATAACTAAGGCTGAAAAGAAATTAAGAGGGTGAGTCCATGAGGGCTGCACTGATATCGTTCCCAGTGCTCCGGAGGTCCCAGTGGTGAGGAAGGATGAGTAGGCTGAAACGTCACTCACTCAGATTCTCCAGCAAATGCTTGCAGTCATCAGTGGCAACATCATGCACAGTCCGATTGCACTTGTCTCTCCTCTCCGGCTCCAGCCCTCCATGCCTACACAAGATTTCTAGGCAATTCTGTAAAGACAAGAGCACTATTATATCCATGTCCAAATCAACAAACTTGAGTGCAAAGCCCAAGAAAGAAAGTCAGTTATCTGTGACTAGCTGATCAAGAACTCATAGTCAGAGACTGGGCATGGTGGCACATCCCTATAATACCCACACTTTGGAGGCAAAGGCAGGAACACTAGGAGTTTGTGGCCTGTCTGGAATATATATGGCTTGACATGGTCTTACCCTTACCTATCATGACAGAATCCATCCTCAGCTATACAGAGAGACAGTCAGAGAGAATAGAAGAAAAAAAAACAAACAAAGCAAAAATGGAAGATGGCTCAGCCAGCTGAGGCGTCAGTTGCTAAGCCTGATGACATGAGTTTTGTCCTTGAGACTTAAATTGTGGAAGCAGAGAACCAAGTCCCAAAAGCTATCCTCTGACCTCCACTTACATATGTGCACACACCATATAGTTGTTTCACAGAGCAAAATAAAGAATGAAATGAGTTCAGCAGACTATATTCCTTTCATGTTACCTTGACAATACAAACCAGGAAGACTTTTGTTTAACTGGCTGCTTCTTGTTGCCTCCTGGTAAGTACTTTTTTTTTTTCAAGAATAATGGGAACATTGAATAGGCCAGAAACAATAAAAGGTACTGGATGTCAAACTAGGCATTGTCCTTCCTAGTATTCTCGCCAAACACAGGCAGACAGAAAAGTCAACACACACACACGCACGCACGCACGCACGCACGCACGCACACACACACACACACATTCATTTAGATCTACCTGGGATGAATCTGTATATTTGAGTTGCTGGAACTGAAATACCTGTACCCATGAAATCTTTCCTTCTTTCTGTTCCTTCTGTAGTCCTGAGGATGGAACTCTTGGGGTTTGTGTATGCCAGCTAGTGTCTTCATGAGCCCCTACCCCTGCTACTCCCTGCCCTTGGATTTCATAGACAGGCAGGCAGTGTGCATCCAGGCACTCTGCAGCATAGTCAAGCATACATTCAGCAAAGCCTTCTCTACTCTTGGTGTAGAACCTAATTTTTTGTTTTATAAAAACATTTTCCCTTCCTAATAGTAGTAAAATAGTCTACGTGCAGTGTGTATAATATCCCCATGAAGAACACGCTGCTTTGCATCATGGAAACATGGCCAAAAGGTAAATCTAATTTGAAAGGAACCTTTTGCTCCCAACCTTTACCAGCCCCCGCCTCCATAACTATTTTCTGATTTTCAACATTAGTGATGGCTCCAGCTTATCTTTAAACTTGGCATAAATGGAAGTATACTGCAGGTTTCAACTCACACTCCCAGGAGAAGCATTCGTGAGTTCCAGCTGCTTCCTATTGCCTCCAAAATTTACTTTTAAATATAACAATGAGTTCACAAGTTCAGGGGATTTTTAGGAACCAGAAAGAAAAGCAAAAACGAAGTTGGAACTACCAATTAAAATGAAATGTGACAAGAAGTCTTGCTGATCTGAGGGCATAGGTGATATGGAGGGCTCTTTTGAGTATTCACGGGATGCAAGACTAGATGTACAAACTGGGGGAACTCTGTTAGGAGACCTCTAACTGAAGAAATTCTACTTGCCTTCAAAGAAACACACTGGGAATATTGTTTCTCTCTGCTGGCTTTTGCTTAGGTTGGAGGGGGCATGTCATCAAAGGTCTGTGGTCTGTGGCTCAGACTTAGAAAATCTCTAAGCTAAAGAGTTAACTGAAGGCAACACCTATTTTATAAACTAGTTATCGAGCTGTTATTTCTGAAATTACTATAGCGCCAATTAAGTGACTACGATAGCCAATAAGAAACTTGGATAATATGAACTGACACAGTACTCAAATAGGCTTCAATAGAATACAATATGGGAACAACATTTTGCAAATTCCAGGATCACAATAGGATTCTTAAAAGTCACAATGATTTTTTTTATTAGTACTTGTGGCAAAGATCATAAAAGTTGAAGCAGGCCTGAATTCAAATCATGTTAGTGGATACAGTCATATTTAAAGATATGGCATGGCTCTTTATAACATTTCTGCTTTAGTTTCTTTCTATGTGTTTCAAATAATGTCTCTCATAGGACTGCCATGTGACTTAAAAGCTTCAGAGTTCTTTGATGCTTGGCATGAACTAAACTCCCAGTATTTATCAGCAGCAGCATTTTATTATAACCAAGTCATTGCCCATTAGAAAACATCCTAGTTAGTTAACTGATAAGGTATCAGTGCACACAGCAAATACTTGTCTTAAGATAATTTATATGATGTAGCTTTTAATTACTTTTTTGGGATAGAAAGGTACAACACAAATTTTCAAGTCTCTCAAATTAAGATTCTTTGATTCTTGACCTTCAAAGTGGTTGCTTCTAGGTAGGGCAGTGGGACCTAATATGACAAGTACTGCCTTTTTCTTGAAGGAAGCATGGGAGATGTGTTCACATGGATAATGGCATTCAAAGACTGCTACAAGTCCAATGCTATGGTGTTGTGCAGATCTCATGGGAAACACAAACTACATGAAGACTCTGACTCAGAAGGTTCTTCCTGACAACTACAGCTACTACATAACATTTGAATACACGCTGATGTCCAGGCACAATTTCTGACACTTTTCAAGAATCATGAATCATGTAATTTTCTGAGAAATGTATTTTTAGGCCGTTCATGCTACTTAAACATCACAGACTGCATTTCCACATACTGAGATGGCTGACTGTCACTAGGCAGTATAATCTTATTGCCATCAATGAACCATTGACTGAAATACTGTCACGTGGTACAAGACTGACATAGTACTATCAGAACACACACATGTAAAGTGCTATACCCGGGCACTATGTTAAGGCTGCAGGTTCTAAGGATAAATAAGGGACCACTTCCATGTATCATGGAGAAGGGTAAAGAGCCATGAAGAGTTTGATATGTGTCTGGGAAATAGCTCAGCAATAAAGGGCTTGCCTAGCAAGTGTGACGACCTAAGGTTAGATCTCTAAGGCCCATCTGAAACTGGACATGGAAGTATGCATCCCAGCACCCCTTAACAAGAACAGAGGCAGAGCCAGGTACTCACTGGCATCTCAGTCAAACTCGTGTAGGTAGTGACTAATAAGAGTATCTCTAAGAAGGTAAAAGGCTAGGCCCAACACCTGAAGTTGTCCTTTGATGCCTACATGCATGAATGACACGTATGGATCCACACTCATACACATGAACATACACGTACACATAATACACATACACAGAAAATGTCTTCTATGCTCCATATGAGGGAAAGTATGAAGAAGAGAGGGCTGGCATGCTAGGTTACTGTAATGAGCAGCCAACATAAACACTTAAAAAGACAAAAGGTTATTTGCAGGCAGTTTCAGATTCCCATTCTTAGTTGCTTGTGTCGCCGTGGGCTTTACATTAGTGACAGATAATGGCAGGGGCATAGGGAAGAGCAAAGCAGAGAACCTTTTGGTCATTGGGAAGGAAGGGAAAGAAACACGAGGGTCAGGGTCCCAATGTCCCCTTCAAAATAATGATCCTAGATGACCAGAAGATTCCTAACTAGGTTCCACTTCCTAAAGCTTCCACCGCCTTTGGGAAACATTTCTTTAAACCATGGCAAGAGAGCTATAGATGCAACAGCAGGGAATTTTTGCTTTACAGAAATGTAGGAAGAAAGAAAACTACAACTACCTTTTCCACCTTCCATGAGGACATGGTGACAAGTGTATGTGGAAGAGAGAGTGAGCCTGAGTGAGCAGCGTGTCCTACAGGTACCCAGATGGATGGTCCAAGTCTTATGGGGATACATCTGCTAACACGGAGACCTAAAACCTGGTGTCTTGGGTTTCACTTTTCACTCACATTCGTTTTGTCAGAATGCAATCTTCTTTTCTGACCACGAGCCCAGAGCAAAATGTAGGGACTCATGATCACAGAGAGAGAACAGAAGAGATATTGCGGGAAGATGAGAAGTCTCCTCCGCCATTGCCATCACTTAGTCAGGGAGAGCTCAGAATCAAGAAACCAGGGCCAAGGAGATAAGAGTACAAACATCCCAAGTTCAAAGTGCTAGAGATAATATCAAATTCCAGGCAGAGAGGCGGAACTTGCGATTGGCCAGAGGGTGAGAAAGAAAGAAAACCCCAAGTTTGAAAATGCACATAAAATGTCCAGCTGAGAACTGAGAACAGCCTCTGGGTGTGGGTGTGCCCACTGCCCTGCAGGCAGGGGAGGCAGAACCTATTAAGACAGACACACTGCCATAAGCAAGTGGGTAGACTGGGTAGACGTAGTTGTGAATTGGTCCAAACAGAATTGTCAGAGGGCAGCTGTAACGGTGCACGCTGAGCAGCGTGGGTGCTCTGCTGTAGACAATGAGGCTGTGTGCAGGAAGGAAAACACTATCATCAGCTCTGTTTTAGAAGCTGACGGATGCATTGGAAACATATACCGGAAAGGAAGAGAGTGAGGAAACAGCGCTCTGAAAGGACCATACTGTCCATTCACCCATTGGTTCGAGAGACTACTTCTGAACCAGGGTCTCTGCTCGGAACAGAAGTGGGGACGTACATGCCAACAATTACAGTAAAGTACAAGCTATGTAAGTGAAGTGTGGAGAGGTGCCCTGGAAACACGCAACTCGTACCCAGAAACGTCTACCAAGATATTTTCTAGGCAAACAGGGTCAGGGCAGGCTAAGAAGCTATTTGAGACTTTGGGGACGGTAGATGTGAAGCCAGGGGGAGGTCAGTCCGGCATGTGGGTTACACACAGCACACCCTAGGAAAGGTGACATATGCTTGTTGTCTGAGGCCATCGAGGAGGGTCTTGACCATTATATCCAGCAAACCCTATTCTGAGGGTGAGAGGGTCATAAAAGGATATGAAATAGCTAAGTTATATTTAACTGTTAGATAGGTCCCACCCAGGGCTGCACCAACAAAATAAAACAAAGGGATGGAAAAAAAACTGAATAAACAAGATATGTCTGGGAACATAAGCTC